TCTCTCTCTCTCTCTTCTTCTCTCTCTCTCTTCTTCTCTCTCTTTCTCTCTCTTTAAATCAATAAAATTCCTCTAATAACAATAGGTCACTGAAAAAATTGTGTTGAAGAAATAAGACATACATTATACAACTAATGAAATGGAAAAGGACTGCCTTTGCCTAAAATCAAATTTCTATTGTGTTATAAACCACATTAGATTTAAAATGTGTATTAATCTTTACATAACTTCACAATAAGAAACTCTTTCGTAAACGAAAGCTGTACTAAATGAAATAAAAGCTTGAATAAAAAGGAAGTGAAAGCTCTCAAAAAGTTTTCATAATCTTTATTACGAAACTAAGCATTTTTTACCGAAAAATTTAAGTATATAAAAAAAATTGTACAACAAAATAATATAAAATATAATTATAGTTCTATCTTTTATTATAAAAATAATGAAATCGCTTAAAATTAGCTAGCGTTATTCAATAACTTCAAGCTGATAACTAATATTATTATTCATACATACTTGTATATGTATGTGGTTTCTCTCCGTGCAACAGATATTATTTATCTTATTGTGTTTTAAATTTTATAAGTGGTTTCAGAGCGATAATGAACACTTACCGCTAATCAATGCGAAAATATTGATAGAAGCCTCAGCTAAAATATCAACAACTAATTATATCAAATTGTTAAAAGTCTGATATGACTTTTGAAACCAAAAAACAAAAATTTACAAGTGCGTATAGCCAACAAAGTGTGTACAACCACAATTTTCCATATATTATTTATTTTCAGTTGCTACTTTTTTGTAATACTTGTAGAAAGTTGCTTTAACTGCTTCTTTTGCAATGAAAAATTACAAAATGTATACTCACATAGTAGTCGTGCGAAATTTGCAAGTAGTTAGTCGTAAATTTTGGAATCGCAGTTAAATTCGAAGTCATGAAGTTTCAGCGCCATTACAGAAGAAACCGCAAAAGGTGACTATGTGCAATTGACACAGAGTAAAACTGCTGCAGCAAGTAGTATGCACGTACATATACATACACATGTATAAAAGCAGATGCATGCTGCGCCTGCGCATTTTCGCTGACACTTTTATCAGCACGTTTGTCAGCACCATTATATTTTAGCCGCTGTCGTTGGCTTCAAATGAGTTTTGAATTTTATTTTTAGCTTACTTACAGAGTTATCATTATAATCTTAGTCATTCATTTTCTTCTTCAATTCCTAAATTTCTTCTTTTTCAACATCCATTTTTATACCCTGCACGTGCTAGTTTGCCACGAAATTTTAAACAACCAGCAGGAAACGTTGGGACCCCTATAAAATATATAAATGATCAGCATGATTAGCTGAGTTAATTTAGCCGTAACCGTCTGTCTGTTCGCCCATCTCTCTATACCATATATACACGAACCAGTTGCTTAGTTTTTGAGATATCGATCTGAAGTTTTGCACAAGTCTTTTTCTCCCCAAGAAGCTGCTTATTCGTAGAAACCGCCGATAACGCACACCTATAGCAAATAACTGTTATACAAGCTGAACGATCGGAATCAAGCTCTAATACGGAGCCTATTGTATTTGTGAAGGGTATTGTAGCTTTAGTGCAAGGCAAGTTAACGGTTTTTTTAAACATTTTTTTGCTTATTTAATAATATTTACCATTCAATTATTTGGCACGACTTTTGTATCAACTAAACGGAAAACATATTTTCTCTTCAACACTAGATTCATAAATTAAATTTGTCTGAATACATTAGCAGTAGTTGTTATTAAAAACATGAATTTGTATTCATAAAATAACTTTATTTTGCAAGTAAAGTTATAACATTAAACTAAAATTTGTTTTAGAGCTACCCTTAAATAATTAGAAACCAAAAAATAAATTTAAAAAAAATTCTTTGAATTATATATAAAATTTTCAAACTATTATTTTGTTCAAAAGTGCTGCATATTTTACTCGAAAATAATAAAAGAATTAAAGTTAATAAAAAAAAGTGTTAATTGAAAAAAAAAAATTAAATAAACATACGCCATACTATATACGGGGTATTATAAAAATATTTAAATTTAAAAAAGGTTTACTATACAATACTTAATTTTAGTTAAAAACAAAAAAAAAACATAAAAAATTGATTTGAAAAAATATATTTTTTAATACTTTCTTACACAAAACTTTGTCAATGTGTTATTAATAAATTTTTTTTACAAAAAAAGTCCTAGAAAAATAAATAAATAATAATTAGTTATCAAATAATTCTGCAAAAATTTTGATTTCTCTTCATTTTTTATCAATTAACTATCATTAATATTTGATTTCAAATTTATAATTTGTGTACCAACTTACTTAACTGCATATATATATGTAAATGTATATTGTTTATTTCACAATTTCATGAAAAGTTTGCAATTTTCACATTTTTCCAGCAATTATAGTTGAAACTTAATTTTATTTTTTTTTTGCCTACTCTACTTCCTATGCCATCCTTCTCTCAATGAAATCACCGAAAAGGCTAAGAAATGCAATTCGGCGAAATTTCTCCCACACGCTTTTAAGCAATATATATTCATAAAAAATATGAAATAAAACAATATTTCGCTTAAATTTCGCATAATTCATTGCTCACGCGGCGCAACGATGCGAGCATTGCCCACCGCTGCTCAGCCTAATTATGCACTTGTGTTCGTTCACGCCCACCGCGGCTTCCGAAAGCAGTCATAAACACCCACCGCCACCACCAACCATAGCCGAATGTTGTTGTTATCTTGCTCCGATCGATTCGAATGCCGCGCCTCACGCTTCTCTCCATTGCGCACGCGTACGCTTCCTAAGTCTTAACGCAATTATGGTACATGCCTAGACACTTTGTGGTCGCATAGTCAAAAGCCTTTGGCAGCAATCACACGCTTTATGCAGTTTTCAATTATCCACAACATGCCACTACATTGCCATTCAAACTGCACTCAAATATCGTGCGCCTGCGCAATGCGAAATATTTGCAAGTGAACTTCAATTGAAAGCCGCTCGTAATTGAATGTTGCTGCAATAGTAAAGCGTTACAATTACTTGATGCAAATGAAACATGGGAATATACATTTCTTTCGCAAGAGAAATGGCTAAAGAAAATTGCCGCTACGGTGCTGAGGTTACCACTTCAGGTCTTTTATTAAACTAAATTTCCCGGTAGTCTCCAAATCAATGAGTAGAGAAAAACAAATACTACACTAAAGAACTCTCATTGCAAAATCAATATTATTTTATGTATCAAATAATAACAATAATTTGTAATGAATACAAATAAATATGCAAACTAAGATATGGAATTATAGATAGCAGGCTATATACAACATACAGCTAATTAAGACTAAACACTTTCTTCATCAATCATCAATGACGGCATATAATATAATAATATTAACGCTTTACGCGCCACTCTATGCCGTCAAAGTAATAGCAATATTAAATTTTTGCACCAATTTCACTATTAAGGCCGCGCCAATTCTTCAGTTTATTCACTAGTTGCTTGTAAACATTTAATGCAACAAAATGAAAGTTTTTGCCTTCCTCATTCTCGCTTTGGCTTTGGCCGCGCCAGCCTTTGGCAAAACTTTCAACCGCTGCTCCTTGGCTCTTGAGATGTCTCGCTTGGGTGTTAACAGGACTCAATTGGCATGCTGGACTTGCATTGCTGAACGCGAGAGCTCCTACCGCACCGGTATTACGGCCCCAACTAACTACAATTAGTACTTCTGCTGCCTGCCTGCCAACGGTCGTTTCTCTTACAATGAGTGCAAATTGAGCTGCAATGCTCTGTTGACCGATGACATAAGCAATTCTGTGCGTTGTGTTTTAACTAAGCTGATTGCATTAATAACTGCCAAAACTACAAACTAAGCATATCAGTGGTATTAATTGCTTCTTTGCACACACTTGAAATTCTTTAAGAACTAACAAATATTATTTGAATTTTCAGAATTTGTTCTCCGGCAATGAACTTATACAAACAAGGTTTATTTTATCTATTTAATTTTATTCAATATGAAGCAAATATTAGTATATTAAAGCTTAAAAGCATGAGTCAATGCTGGGCAAGGTACCGTTGCAATACTTCCAGGTGGCCCAAGCAGTCCAACCCTGTTGTCTTTGTATCTGGCGTGCGCAACGTACTGAGTCGCTAATGTCATCGGTCAACAAATCATCGCAGCTCAAATTGCATTCGTTGTAGGAGAAGCGACCGTTGGCAGGCTGGCACCAATAGTAGTTATTGATCTGGAAGATACCATAATCGTTGGAACCGTTAGAGTTGGTTGGGCCCACAACACCGGTGCGATAAGAGCTCTCGCGTTCAGCAATACAAGTCCAGCGTGCCAATTGATCCATTGGTACGTCCAAGCTATACAGCTCATGAGCCAACGAGCAACGGTCGAAAGTTATGCCAAAGGCTGGCGCGGCCAAAGCCAAAGCGAGAATGAAGAATGCTAAAACTTTCATTTTGTTTGCGTAGTGTGTTAACTATTAATTAGAAACGTATGCTTATGCAAAAGAAAGCGTTCCGCTTTTATAGTAAATTTGTTGCAAAACAAGAAATGATAAGAAAACGTGTACATTGATTACATTATCACACTTGAGTGAAGAAAAGAGTGTTAATTAAAAGTCGATAGTTAGATTTATATATGGTAATCTTGCAAGTTTATCGCTTACGCATATACAAAACTATATCTACACTCAGAAAAAAAAGCTTTGGAGCTCACTTAATCATGCCCTCCATCTTTTGCAAACAAAATACTATTTCGTAGCGATGGCTGTGGGGTTTAAATACTAATTTTATTGATTTTCGAAATTATGCCTTTTCTCTCGCCTATATGTTTTTTTGCCGAGCACTTTTTGTGTGACAAAGTGTAAACAACGCAATTTAAAAAAAAACCATTATTTGTAAAAAAACTATGCAATTTTTAAATCAAAAGCAAACTTACCATATTTGAGCTCACTTTTTTTTTTAGTGTAGAAGAAACAATTAAAAGTTATATAACTTAAATGTATTTATTAAACAGTCAATATGACAGATCACATGAGTTTGATAGTAATTTTCGGCTGGGTCGCACAACTTTTCTACCGCCGACCTTTCAATCGTTGTTTGCTGGCAAGCGAACTCAAAAGCTTTGAAATTCCATATAATCAATCAGCTCGTTGAATTTGTATTGCTGAACAGAAGAGTACTTTACGGACGGACAGCCGTACCAAATTTGCGACCAAATCCAGATGGTTCCTATGACTATAGAACCTTCCAGATTAATAGTAGATACATATAATTTATTTACAATAACAAACTTTTGTGAATTTTTTTCCATATACAAAATGGTTCTTATTGTTTTAAATGTAGTCTTAAAACGAAAAAATTATTTATATTTTAATTTAGAAGCTATTTCTCATACGAAAATATATATTTATAAAGAAAGTTAAAAAGTAATTTCCCATACCGGGAATCGAACCCGGGCCTTCTGGGTGAAAGCCAGATATCCTAGCCACTAGACCATATGGGATAACAAATATATAAAAATTATGCTCCACTATGTTACTTCACTAAGCTATGTAAAATTTTACAGAACTGTGATGTTAACAGCTTGTTAAACATGATTGATTTGATAATAGAAAACCATTAAGCATTGCCTGTTATTATTCATGGTGCTGTTAAGTACATATTAGCAACTGTTAACAGCTATCTATTTATCAATAATTAAATAATATACTGGCCAACAAATTTAACAATAATTCTAATTTTCTTTTTGCAAAAGACATATATGCATGTATGTATGTATGTATGTATTAGTATTTAAAAGGGTGCTGCAGTTTATACATTCAAAAATATATAAAAAAACACATATTATATAAAAGTTAAGACCTAAAAGTGCATTGAACCTATTGTATGGCGTAATTTAAACGCAATTAATATTAAAAACTGTAATATTTTTATGCAAACACATACTTTTTTTACTTATTCTATAAATTATTAGAATATACACCCAGCTTTGATGGTAAAAAATTATGCTTTGTGTATGTGAGTCACGTGCATGGGCGATAATTGCCGCTGCCACATATACAGCATATGCAATTGTTGCAATAAAAATGAGCAAGAAAGCTACAGGTAGATAAATGCTGGTGCTTACAATTCCATAAAAACATACATACATATAAACATGCTAGAGGAAAATTTTATTACAAAGAAATGGTTGCAACTAAATTCAAGGAAAATTCAATAAAGAAATATGAGCAATAGTTGCAAGTTTGCATACTAAACTGGAGGGAGCTGAGGGAAAATTAAAGTTAGCTATAAATATAAATATAGAATATAATTTAAAAACACATAAATTCAGGTTATGGGCTATTGCTTTAAGCCTTAGGAACCGCAGATTTATTAAAGAATGCATGTTAACCACTTGCTTATAAATGTATTGACACCTAGAACTGCTTTATGCTTAGGTATAAAAAATATACGTACATACATATGTGTATAAGCGTCAAAATGTGCGCCTGATTGCTAGCGAGCGATTGCTGGCAACAAAAAGCGCATAATAATTTTACGGGTTAATAAAAAATGATGATGAATGAAAACGTTTCGAAAATATTAACAGAAAGGCACGCATGAGCAGAAAGAAGTTTACAAATTATTGAAATGAAATATGCGTGAAAGAATCAAAAACTACCGCCAAAACGATTTGGCTTGGACAATGGTAAAAGCAAACACCAGTAGACTAAACAGCAACTTAAAGCGTTGAAGCATTGTTGCACGAACAACGGTGCGGTTGACCAATTGTTCACTTTTTTCCATCTCTTCAGTGTCAATTCTTTTTTTCCTCTCTTTCATTGTATGCACTTTTTCACTTCTTTTGTTGTCACCAGCTAGTGTAGTGTAGTTACCAATCGCAGTCGTCACCTGTTGCTGATGGAATTCCGATTAACGCCTACAGAACCGCACGTCTAGCTTTTTATTCACCAGTTTGTGTGGGTAAAATTTTAACTTACAATCGCGTTTTCATGAGTTTTTTTCTACACGTAATTGTTCTTATTGGCTTTTTAAGTTTTTTTTATGTATCAGTGAGTCAATAACAAACCGTAAACCTTTGGGCTAACTGTTATAATCCGCGCTTTGGAATTCAAAGATTTGTCAAAGCGGAAACATACAAATCGAAAATATATATAATATTAACAGTCAATAAGATACCGTTGTAAAAGAGATTTGTTAGCACAACGGTGAATAAATTATACGAATGCTTGGCTTGGTGTAAAATAAAATATATTAAACATTTATAGTTCTGAAAACTGGTTAGTTTAACTTTTATAATATTCCTCATCTTTTCATTACTTGTTTTATATTAAAATAAGCAAAACAATTTTGTCGCGAAAAATAACATAAAAACCAGACATTTATTAAAAGTATATTTGTTATTTATTGGAAAAGGCTTGACTGCTCTACAGAAATAGTTTAATAATATCTATTACTTTTTCTAAAAGATATTTGAAATTTAATACAAAGCCTTAAGTATATTGAAATCTTTAAATATCTTCGCATACGCATACATACATACATATATAATATTATATATAATATGTATATTTGTTTAAGCCTTATGTTGCGAGTAGCGTATATTTCACAAAACAACTGTTATACTGTTATCCTTTTCTTTCTCACATTAGCTATTTGTTAATTTGTTAAAGGACTCTTGTCACCTAACCCACCCTTTAAGTGGAAAAAGGATAACGGTCCTCGGTAGTATAGTGGTCAGTATCCCCGCCTGTCACGCGGGAGACCGGGGTTCAATTCCCCGCCGGGGAGGTGACTTTTTCACGTAATCCATGCTTTTTTTTAAGGGAACGAGAGAAAAAGGATAATATATTTTTTTTTTACTAATTTAGCTTATCTTTAAGTACAGAGCGGATTGTATTATATAACTAAAACTCAGAATATATAACTGAAATATATGAATAAATTTGTTTTATACACATACATAGAAATAAACAAATTTCATTCACCCCATTTAATTAAGCACACAATTACGCCCAACACAAGTGACAAGTGAATGAAAAATTATTGAAATAACAACATTTTTCCGGCTGTCCATTTAGTGTCATTTTAATGGTCATTTTCCTCCACCCAAGCAAGTTTAGCGCATGTGGGCATTGAATACAGCAGAAATTAAAACTAAATAGCGAAGAACATAAATTGTGAAATATGCTGAAAAAATCACACAAGAGTTGTAAAACAAGTTTCGCGTCACCTGACAAATGAACCGACAATATGTTGTATGCTTTTGTGCTTGAGATTGCGAACGAGCAAAGCAAACAATAACATGTTCATTATTTTCATATGAAATGGAAGGTAGTAATGTCAGCGGGCACAGGATAACCAGAGAGTAAGATCATTAAAGTGAAAACTAATTAAGCGATTGCAACCAAACGGGTGGCGTCTGGATACAATGCGCATTAATCAATCCACGAAACTGAGGTGCAAGAAAGGCACACCCCTTACGGGACACAAACCAAAGTTCAATAAGCCTTTAGTGAAATGTGACAGCCAAATTTGCAGTTGGTTGAGTTACGCCACACTGCATTTTCTGTTCAACATCGCTTGCTGCTTAGCCTGTATGCCATAAAATTTATAAACAAATTTTCCATCGTTCATATGAAACTTTTTCGCTTTTAGTTTTACATTTCCACAAAATCTTCAAAAATCACTTCATTAATAATAAATAATAATTTTCTAATTGCCATTTCTGCTTACAGTGACATCTCCGCCTATTATCAGCAACGCTACGCGCCCACCGTACAGCAACAAAAATTGCCGCCGCAACATAAACTCCATCACACACATCATCGGCCGCAGCACAATCGTTTAAACGGCTATCCAATGGCACCGAGCGTCTGTCAAAATTCACCGAAATTAACGGCAGGCGCTGCGCACAGCGCCACCATGACCAGCACAACGCTCATAGGTGGTGCAGGAGGTGGTGTTGGTGCCGCCACAACCATCTCTGCTCCATCAATCACACAGAAGAGCAATTATGGTGGCAGTAGCATTAACGGCTCCATGGCTTCATACAAAATGTCAAGTTCGGAGAATAGCTGGTCGCAGCCTGTTTTCAACAAGGTGTGTACAAATGAAGAATCTTTATTTCTAGGCTTTTCACTTTCCATTATATTTTACTGTAAACCTAATGCTTAAGTGTTTACCAGTGAAAAGCTAACATTTTAGCCAAGTACAATTGTATTACAGCGGTAGAGATTTCTTTAACATTTAGTAGAGGACTGTTATAAACACAATCAGTTACAGCTGATATATAGCAGAAATTAACAGAGTGGTGAGTAAATAAGCGTGAGAAGCTGTTACTTGAAACGTCATTCAAATCAACGGTTGTTATAAAGCTCACTGTGCAAAAAATTATTTGTAGTCCCGTATTGTCTAGTGGTTAGGATATCCGGCTCTCACCCGGAAGGCCCGGGTTCGATTCCCGGTACGGGAAATATTTATTTTATTTATATATGTTTTTAAAATATTTTTGTTTAAATAATAATTTTTAATATATAAGAATTTTATACAATATAAAAACAATCTTTAATATCCACCAATTTGTACAAAAATATTTTAATGCATCATTTCGTCTTTAAATTAATATTCAATAACTCCAAAGTAAAATTTCTGCCAAAAGTAAAAGTAAATGAACCATTTTATATTAGAATACCTTTAATTTATCTGTTTTATACTTAGTTTCCATAACATTTTTAAAACTTTTAATTTATAAAAATAATGTATAATATAATTCTAAACTCTAATGGCCTGACAAGTTTAAAATTCGTTTTTTTTTTTAATTTCATATAATTGAAATATCAAAAGAGTTAAAAGTTATGAGTTATTAATATGATTTTCGTTTCAACATTATTTTTATTTTTCAGATGGAAATAAAATAAAATTTAAAAATAGAACTAAATGGTCAAAACTTTCAAGTAAATAACTTATCTAATTAAAGAGCCACCAGTGTATAAAATTTTCTAAGGACATATAAAATCGCAAAAAAAATTTAATTTCCCGTACCGGGAATTGAACCCGGGCCTTCCGGGTGAGAGCCGGATATCCTAACCACTAGACAATACGGGATCACTATATTAATTTTATCGCATGACGAATTTCAAATAATCGATAATTTATATATTTAACTTACATAGTTCAAATAGTATGATACCAATAAATATTATATAAACTAAGAACTCTTTATACGAATACAAGTCGCAACATGCAAGTCGAAAAATTATCTAAACAATTTGGTTCTAGAAAGCCCAAAGAATTTTCGAAATGAAAGAAGCTGAAATGCATACTTTATCATTCATTGGCTTCGGCCATATCTGTATCTGAGAGTATTTTTTTTTCGCTTTAAACGTATTTTTCAAAAATTTGTAATAAATATAAATATTAAAAAAAAACTGTATATCTCCCCGACGGGGAATTGAACCCCGGTCTCCCGCGTGACAGGCGGGGATACTGACCACTATACTATCGAGGACATAAAATTTATTTTGCACAAAGATTATTTTCTTCTCAGCGCTAACATTTTCAACACATTAATTTCATACAGCAAGGTTGTACATAACAGAAAATTGACATAGTCGGCAAAAGAAAACATGCTAAAAATACGCAATATTCTTTTATAATAATTATTATTAAATCTTAAATACTTCTTATCTCCACAGGAGAACCAACGACCCCCAGTTTATAATCCGGAAGATTACGTGCAATCATTAAAAAAATTTGGTAAGCGTCAGAGTGGTCAACATGTGCGTTCTATATATGACAACAACAACGAAACTACAACTAAAGAAGAAAACAATCATAAAGCATCGACTTTACCACATAAACATGCGGAATACAAGTAAATATTAATTTCATATTATATTTATAAAAATTATTTCCATGAAATATTATTTTTAACTTTAAAATGTTTAAGTATGTCACTAAATCATTATTTCATATATTATTATCTGTCTCAACCCTAGAAGTCCCATACCGGCAGCGCCTGAAAGTGAAGGCGAGATGTCCTTAAGGCAGTTTGCCTCGGTAACTGATTTACTCACGAAACTGCGCGCGGACTTACGAGTCTCTTTTCCAAGGTATACTATTCACCTTTTTATAAATTTCATGTAATCATGTTTTTTGTCTCACAGCTTTGTGCAGGAATTTGTTGCCACACCTTCTGACGGTATAAGTCTACTTCTCGAAGTGCTCCGCGCTATACAACTTTCGCAGTCGAGCAATGCCGCTGTGCCACCAAATCAAATGACCGCCTCGATGCCACGAAATCCGCAATCATATCAACGGCGCGCTTTACTTGACGAACTTGCTTGTCTGTAAGTCATCTCTCTACTTCCTCTCTACTTGCTTAATAGATTTCGATTAACTGTTCTTATAATAATCTATTATGTATCCCATCTCAGTCAATGCCTCAGCATTTGCTGTTCTCGCTCGTTGGACGCGATCGCGCGTTTGGGCACAACGCCTGTCGGCTTGATGCCATTGGCTTCCTCGGCGACTGGGCAGGGCATACGTGCGCGCATTTTGGCCATGCAATTAATGTCTGCCGCGTGCGATAAAACGGCGTTGGGTCATGGTTCACAAAAATCAATTACAGCCGGTCATACGGCCGTCTCGGAAGCTATGTCGACGTTACGTTTGCGCTGCAGTGAACCGGTACGTTTTCGCCTGCTCGTGGGCATGCTGAACAGTGGCGGTGGTTCGGGTGAACTGCAGGCTGTGGGTGTCAAGTAAGTGCGGAGTGTATGCAATTTTTATTTATTATTAATTTTGTAAAGTTACTGTTTTCATTTGAGGAAAATAATGCCGTTATTCTATATAAAATTTATTTCTCAGATTTATAAATTCCTTCCTGGAGAGTTCTGAAAATCTACAGCAACGTTTATATCTACAAGCGGAACTCTTCCAGGCCGGTTTTGAGCCAGGTTCTTTAGCAAAGGTGAGGCAGACGCTAGACCATTATTTTATGAAAGATTTTATAAAACAATAAATTTCCACAGACTATATCACCCGCCTCATCATGGCTGGAAAATTTGCGAAATGAGATCAAACGCTTCCACGAACTGTATGTAGATGTTGATAAAATGATCACGCAAGCGCGTGAGGCCGACCGTGTGCGAAGTCAGATGGTGATACTGGAGCGACGAGTTCAGGTACACAGCACCTCCTTAATACCATATAAATTTATGTTTATCTCACTATCAACTACACCTTTAATGTATTTTAGATTTTACATGAGGAGAAAACAGTTCTTACGTCAATGGAACGTCGTTTGCAGGAGCGTTGTGCCGAGTTACAGCGTGAGATCTTCCGTTTGCAGGGTGCACAGAATGAGAACACTTTCAAGTCCCTAGATAAGCAACCAGTGGCATTACCACGTCATGTGCCGCCCGGCAAAAATGAGAGCGAACATGAGGATGAGGGCATCAGCAGTTCAGAGACGGGTCCCTCACTTAGTCCAGTGCCCATATTGGTTTTACCGCAGAAATCCAGCGCTTCCATGATAGCCAAACAGCATCATAAAAACAAATCCAAATCACCGGATAACTCAACGGGAGATAGTGGTGCTGCCACCGGCACAGCTACCACCATTGAGGACGTTATGCAAGAGCTGGATCAGGTCGTTAGCGAGGCAGAGAAACAAATAACGACGCAACAACTTCAACAACAACAGCACCAAATCAAGCAGCAATTCAATCAAACCAAAGTTACGAAGGAAAAGGATATTGTGCCGGTTAATATAGTGCCACAGCCACCGCGCAAATCGCGTTCGCTCGCACATCTCGTTTCTCAAGCAGATGGTTCCGAGTTGGATGGCTCCGAATATGGCATGTTGATGTTACAGAATCATGGTGATCGCGCCGCCGCTGAACGCGTTACAGCATTGCAAACATTTTTCGATGAAACCGACTATGACCTGCCCGAAATAGACAAGCCATACAGCATCGAATCACCAGACATACCGGAGGTGAGCGCTAACACTACCGCCTATAATGCGAGTACCACGCGTGAGCTACTCGACGTTATTATGGATGCGCGACACAGTGACGACGATCCAACAATGAAAGCCTTCCGCGAGGCGAGCAATCAACACCAACATCAATATCAGCATCAGCATCAGCACCAGCATCACCATCACAACAATAATGCTGCCAATTGCACCAACAAACGCCAAGGCATGTCAGCAGCGGCACCACCTCCACCGCCACCTCTACTAGCGAAGAAACCACAAGCACCGGCACAACATTTCAACGGTGTCTTCTTTATGACCGGCATGAATACGCCACAAAAGTACCCCAAACCAGATGTGACCGCAGCATTACAAGCGCGACGCGTCACCAAGAATGTTGAGCGCTTAGAGGCGGCATTCGCTTCAACCAGTCATGAAACGCTTTTGGATGGCAGCAGCGCAACGTCGCCAACCGTGCATCAGGTGGTGCGTGAAAAATCGCGCAGCAATCAACAGATTTATTTTGGCAGTAATCCAGCGTTGCGTTTAAGTAGCGGCAGTAGCACTGGTGGCGGCGCTGGCGTTAGCGGTAATAATGTAACGGTGTTGATACAGCATAGCAATGCGGCACAGGTCACGCAACAGCCGGCCGATAGTGCGACAGCGATAACGATGCGCACGCGCTCCTGCACACAAGGCTCAAAGGTGACCGATACGCCATCGGGATTGTACTGAGTATGGTGAAAAAATGTGGTGAAATGAGTGTGGTGTGTAAAATGTTAGTTAAATAATTGTAGGCATTTACTAGTACATTATGTTGAGTTAGAGTCATTGAAGTCGAAGTACGATTTCCTCGTTCGTATTAACATATAATATTAGCATAGTAAATTGTATATAAAAATTCGTTAGTCTGAAAACGTTATTCTCTACATCCAGCGTAAACAAATTTAGTTTATAGAAATATTCTTTAAGAAACAATAAGTTAGTCAAATCCATAAAATTATATAAATACAATTTGAAAAAAATTTAAATTATTTACAATTTTAAATATAGTCCATAAATGGTAGATTTTAGAAGTTTAGTTTTAAGTTGCTTGGGACCGCTTATTTGTTTTAAATGCACAGCAAATAACTAAGAAGAGATAATTCAAAACCAAATTATTTGAATTTTTTCTCTTTTTTATTTACGAAAATTATTTTGATTAATTGGCTTTGCTATTAAATTTAGTTATAATTGCTCATATTTAATAATGTCATTGTTTAATTTATCGTATTCAACAATTTTTTTTATTAAATATATTAATTAATTATGTTATATTTCAAACATAATTTTTTGCTGTAAAAAGTTTGCAAAACTGTTGAGTTGGAAAAAAATATAAGAAATCAATTTAAAATAGTCTCATTGTCGATAGAAGTTAAAAAGATCTATATAGTTATATGATAAATTGTATGATTTTTTAATTTTTATGATTTTTTAAATTTTAATTCTATTGTTTGTTTATTTTTTGTAGTAAAACCCAGCCTCCATTATTTTATAGTCATATTTTTTGTTTAATAATATCTATTTTGTTTTTGCATTTAAGACTATATTACTTAAAAGAGATTTTTTCTTTTAATGTATGTATATATGTAACGCTTCAGTTTTTTACTTCATATTTAAAACTCAATGTATTAGCAAATAGTAGTTTTGTTAGACTTTTGAAATATTTTAATTTTTAATTGTTACGAAATTTAATAAAAAACGTTGTTGTAAATATTTATTCCATAGCATGAAAACAGTTTAATATTTAATGCAATTTCAGTTAGGTTCATATACATATGTATATATGTATGTAAGTATTTGTAAAAATTCTATTCGCTAGTAGAGTTTTTAATAAGTACAATGCATTACACTATAAAACATAGAATTTTAACTTACGCTATTTTTGTTTGCAGTTGACTTATGCAGTTAATCTTATTTCGTGTGTTTATTTTTAAGATTAACTGTATATAAGTTCACTGTATGATCTTAAATTACATAAATACAAATTAAATCTAATAAATATACTTAAGTGCATTAAAAAATCTTAAAATTAATAAATAAATTTTATGAATTAATACAAAATTGTATTATTTGCCAATATATACTTATTTTATATAAAAACTATCTGACGGCCAATAAGAAGGGTTTGGGCTTTGTAACTACACTTTCAGTGCAGCCAAATTGATTATGTAAACTTTTCTAACAACAATATGGCTAGCTAAGGCTGGGCAAATAGCAAAGCGAGCAGCAATATAGTGTTGAGAGTAAAGTTCTCAAGCTCAATGGAGCTCGAACAAAGATTTATTATTTAATATACTAAATTCATAAATTATTCGGTTCAGCTTAAGTTATTATATAATTGTTTCATCATAGTAATAGGTTATATCTCGCAACTGTATATTTAGATTTTTTATGTATAGCCTTAGCATTAAGCCCTTGCATTTATTTTACCGTTGTATGCTAGATATTTGCACAATTGCCTCGCTGCCTTTCTATTATTCAACATTTAAGTGGATTTTATTGATTGACGAATTGTAGCAATCGCACATAGCGCACTCGTTTAGAGCAATGCTTTGTCCGCATATCAATTCGTTTATAGCGAGACGACCCTGAGCGCACGAAATCACGTGCACGTTTTTAGTTTTTAGTAATTTATTTTCGTTTTAAATCGATTATAAAAGCATTTTGTTTGATTTGTATTATTTAGCAAATACGGAGTGAGGCAATAAAGATTTCTAGCGAACATCAATTGTTAGCAGTGGCGGTGTTTTGACTGCTGACTCGGGCTGTATGTCACCACTGGTTTGTTGCTTATGGTGAATTTGTATCCTTTAGTCAGTTATGAGCGATTTTCGTATGAATTGTATGAATGTAAGTTTGCTAAATACAAGCTGCATACAATTTGTACAATTATAATATCTTGAGTTGTTAAAACGTGCATGCAAATATTTAAGTGAGTAAGTATAAGAAAAAAAATTTAATGAGATTTTTGGTCTGCGAAGGGTCACGCCATTTCAAATCGAGTTGAACCAATATATACCAAGCTGTTGCTGAAACAAAAATTTTAATCAAAATAAAAATTTCGTTATCGGGCTGTATATATGTATATGTATGTATGTAACTGACTCATCAGTTTAGCTTTTGTAAGCAGTTGATTTGACAAAGTATTCCGTCAATATATTTTTCTCGTTTTCAATATGTATTTATTTGTTTTTTTTTTTGGCTCTTAATAACAGCTTTACTTAACAGCTTGCAAACATAATAACAGTTACAATTGCATGCGAAAAAATTGCATGACAATTCGTTATGAAAAACAGTTGCAACATTATTAGTATTATTATTTTGCGCACACCTCGCTGCACTTACATGCTTTAAGGTTTATTACAACAACATTTAATTGAATAACAGTTGCATTTCGTGTGTCATAAATGAAGATATACATACACACGTAGATATGTAAGTATGTATGCATGCGTTGAAAACTAAAGTAATAAAAAGTAATTACTGGCGCAAATCTTAAATACAAAAAAAGCAAGAAAAACAGTTTTTTATCACAAAGTTATAAAAAAAATAATAATAAATAAAAAATAGAAAAAAAAGAAAAATAAAACAAAACAAATGCAATTGTAAATTTGGTGCGCCGTTGTCTAAGACCCACTTTTGCGTAGAAATTCGACATGTTGCATTGTTTGGCGAATGCAGAACGAAAAATGCGATTAGCAAACAAAAGTGACAGAATAGATTAAAAAGCAAGCAATAAGGAGGGACACTTGCACCGAACAGTGTTTACTCAAGCAAAATCAGATAGTATTCGAATTGAAACAAGCAACCGACTATGCAGCAAGTTGAACAATAAGCATTAAAAAAAAAGGAAAAGGCTAAAGATAGGTGGATTACACAAGATTAATCACATGCTGACAATTGGATTTGGAAATACGAAAATCTTCTATGCTGCCTAAAGTGCAAGGTAGCGTAATAGTTGCTTTTAACCTTAAAACCATTTAAAATACAGTTTACTACAACATTATCCACCATCGACATCGTTTATTTCGCCTTAAATCGTCACATATTTATTTTTACTTGCAAATACCGATGCATGTCAGTACATATGTATGTATGTATAGAGGCTTCTTAAGCATTCCTAATAAATAGTTCTAATATTAAAGTACTTGTATATATGCATTCAAAAACTAATGGTAAAATGCACGGAAATGTAGCATTATTTTAGCGGCAATGCATAAAATATGTGAGGAAATATATCCACGGTTAATTGCTGGTTGTTTATGCGCGCCTGGTGCCAGTGATATAATGCTTCACTAAAAAGCTGCTCTTTCTAAGCCGATGAAGTAATTAAATGTTCGTATGTATGTATATCCATCTGCAAAACTCAATACAGCGAATGACCTCATTTGCATATTTCGTTCTATTTTGTTTCTCAAATTACTTAAGTATAGGAAGTAATCAAATGATTTATTGATTATATGAATATTGTTGACAACAACTTGAAAATAAGTTTTTGTTCTTCACGATTATTTATTCTATTTAAAAAAAAATGTATGAATATGTTATATCCTCTTACGTGTTGTTGCAATAAATAAGAATTTAAGAGAAAATTTGTGTTAACATTTATGGATAATAGATGAACAGTTTAATATATATGTATATATATGTATGTACTTATGAGTATTCATATTTTATTCATATAACTTTTGATTATTTCACTTTTAATTAGAGTCGAAAATCTTTAACATTTTGTACGAATAGGTTCACACAACGATTTACATCTGTAAAAAATTACTGAACGAGTGCGCCTTGTTGTGCATACAAATATATTACAAAAAGCTCTTGAAAAGGAAAATTATCCCGACGAACGCCAAAGTTAACCTCAGAGTACACAGTGGGTTTGAAAATATGTATAAGTGACAGTTTCGTCGGAGACTCAATAAAATAATTGTATATAAATGGTTAGCGTGACGAGCGCAGTTGATTTAGCCATATCACATACGCGAAGTGGTTACTCAATTTAAAAGTTATCGATCTGAAATCAATATCATGTCATTGTAGAAAATTTTTTTTTATTTAACAATATATATTCATGAAATTTGGCATATAATATTGTCCACTATAGCATACAGCTGCCATTCAAACTGACCGATCAAAAAGAAGATAAATGTCGTGTTATACCCTTTTATGCTATAAGAAATGCAACTGTTAAAGGTAGTAACGCCAAATTTAACGTTTATTTTGCTTTTATTGTTTATTTTAAAGTTCTGCTTAATCTGAAAAAGCACTAGGTATCACTTTTGTTAATCGCGGAAGATGGTTTTCTGTCATTGCAGCACTGACCAGATTAGCTTAAAACCACCTGTTTGTTTTTTTGGAGTTGCAAGTAATTTCCAACTAAGCTTAAACTCATCTAACTAAGCTAAACTTAATCGCTATATATTTTTATGCATAATTGTTGATATATATAAATATGTTTTAATTGTTTTTATACCAAAAACGTCATGTTGGGGTCACTGTGCCTGCATGCACTTGTATACAACTCATATTAATGCGAGTGGCCATACGAATTGCTTGTTGATAATCTACTTAGGATCAATAAACGCAAACCATCGACTATTTGTTTGGCTTTATTGTATAGCTATGCATTGTTGTTATTGTTGTTGCTAATATGTTTTGTTTTTAGTTTATTGCCACAGACGTTTTGGAGGGAGGTGGATTACAGGTTTATTTTTTTTCATGGCATTAACTAATTTTTCCGATATACATACGTGCACACACATACATACATATATGCTTAGAAACATATGTATGCTTTTGTTATATTTGTAAATTTGTGTTGTTGCGTTTTTTACTTTTCTTATAATTCGTAGTGTTTGCATCGTAACAGTGACTGCTTTTCTTGCGTGTTTTATTGCAACTGACGGTTGCTTTTATATATTTAATTGTTTGTTGTATTTTTACTTTTATTGTTTTAGCACTTTGCAGTTTGAAATTTTTTCTAGCGTTTTATTTGAATTTTTTTGGTTTTTTTTTACATTTTTTATTTAATTTTTTTTAGTGTATTATTTTGATTTGTTGTTTTTGCTTTTGCACTCGATTTCATTGCTTTGACAGATTGCGCTACTGTTTGGCGGCATTGGCTGCAATAGCGCTGTGACAGTTGTTCGTGGCGCCTCAGACGGTGCGATACAAAATCCGGCGATTTCATCCCATTCAACTTCACCTGTTAGTTGCAAGCGTGTTTTTTTTTTGCTTGTGCTTTTGCAACCAGTATTCGAGCGGAAACGGTGTGCAGAGAGTGGCAAGAGTGCAAGATAGTGACTGCATGTGTGCGAATTGCCTTTTATGGTTCTAACGTGGCGCTAAAATTTGTTATCATTTTTATCAAAATCCAGAAGTGAAAAATTTTTTCGCTAGCAACGTGATAAGAAATTTACGAAATATATTGAATTGTAATTGCTTTGAGCGGAAAGCGGACAAAACAATTAACTGTCAACTATACTTAGCGTTCTAGCAATTGAATTTTTGTTTTTGGTAAGTCGCCAAATAAAGTTTGCATTTTTTAAATTTTCGTTTGCCAAATTCAAAAAAAAAAATCTAAAAGGTCAAACTAGCAAATTATTGGAAACCTATATTTAAATTACAATGATTTTTATGATTTCCGAATTTCAGATCACTAAAATACTTGTATCATTGAATTTTGCGCAGTTCTCTAAAAAATTTGTTTTATACTGTTCCAAAAAATTATGCTAAGAAATTGTTTTCTACACTTGCAGTATGTAGTATGTAGAACCGTTAGCAATTTTTCTATCTGATGCTAATGTTTATTACGTTTAATGGGATTAACAAGGGTCTCCCATTTGAGCACAGCAACCCTTTACAAGGGTTGGAACATAGAAGTGTCTTAGTGTCTTTAAGCTGTTAATGTTGATTGTACCGGTATAATTTTTTTTTAATAAAACATTTACTTTCGTAATACATACAATGCAATACAAGTGAAAATCGTTTTTTTTCCATTTCTAAACACGTTTCACTTTCCTACATATTTACTGATAAATGTATTGAATGCCAATACTTAATTAAAAAAGTGGTAGCGGGAAATGAGCAGGTAATTCAATATGGAAAAGTGCAAAAAGTCAAAAAAGTGCTTACACCTTAAAACACGTTGAAACTATTGAAGCATTAAACAAAATTAAAAGCGAGAAACGAAATGTTGGCGCTAAATTGGACTATGACGTGTAAAAACGTCACTTTGATTGGAAATAATGTGAATTTCAACTAAATAAGCTGCTGAAAAGTGCAACGAAATTGCAATTTAATGAGGTATTGATTAGCTTATCGATTATTTACATGGTTGGAATAGAATCGCTGCTCAGATAGGGCAAAGCAACATGGTCATGTCTGCCTATAACAATATTGCTGAACTTGTAGTTAAAAAAGTAGTTTTCAAATTTCGGCTATTGAAATGTCACACAAACCCCATTCGTCAAATTTTTCTACCTATGACTTTTTCATGTGCCCGGAACTCAAATATACGCTTTACGACCAAGAATAAGTTGATTCCAGCCGTAGAAACAAATGCACAGAAGAAACTAGAAGTCATGTTCTTAGAGAATGATAGAAAAACAAGAAAAAACTACCGAAACTGTAATACCCTTCACAAATACAAAAGATTCTTTACAAGAACTTGATTTCGATCGTTCAGTTTATATGGCAGCTATATGCTATAGTGGTCCGATATCGACGGTTCCGATAAATGAGCAACTTCTTTGAGCGAAAAGGACGTGTGCAAAATTTAGATCGATATCTCAAAAACTGAGAGACTATTTATACTATACTTATACTAATAATAATTGGGTCGATAACATTAAAAAAATTATCTTTTTACCCTGAACAGGGTATATTAAGTTTGCCCAGAAAATTGTAGCACCCAAAAGGAAACGTCGGAGAACCTAACCAGTATTTATATAAAAATAATTAGCTTGACGAGCTAAGTCGATTGAGCTATGTACGTATGTTTGCTCGTCTGTTCGTCTGTCCGTCTGTCTGTGTGTATATATAGAAACTAGTCTCACAGTTTTTGAGATATCGTTATGAAAATTTTCACACGCCCTTTTCACGCCAAGTAGCTGCGCATTTGTCGGAATGGCCGATATCGGTGCACTATACCACTATAACATATAGCTGTCAGACAAACTGAACGATTAGAATTAAGGCTATTGCATGAAAATTTTTTTTATTAGATGAGATATTTTCAAGAAATTTGACATGGACTATTGCCCAAAACAATAATGCAATAACCGAGGAAATTATTTAAATCGGACCACTATAACATATAGCTGTCATACAAACTGACCGACCAACTCAAATCCTTATAACGAATACTCTATTTTATTTGGCAAGGTATCTTTACAAAATTTTGCATAGACGTACACAATGCATCGTTACAATCTCCGAAGAAATTGTCCAGGTCGGATTAATGTAGTATACAACTGTCATCTTAACTGAGCGATAAAAATCAAGATAAAGAACTTTGTATACTACTTTATGTTATAAAAAATGCATCTGTGAAGGGTATGATAGCTTCGGTACAGTCGAAAGTACGTTTTTTCTTGTTTTTACTTTAAATTAATTAAATCTGTCTTTCAATGTTTTTTGAATACAAATTCATTAATTTGCATGTTTCATATCTCCTTCCTTGTACGTAACTGATAATTGTATTTAAATTATAAGAAAAGAATTGCTTTAAATAACATAGTAATATATTATTAATGAAGCACATAAAGCATAGGCCAACCTGTTGACTTTCTTTAAGACAATACAAGCGCTGATATCAAATATTAAAAAAGCCATAAATCATACGTCGCTCGTACTCAATTAATCTACTTATATATAAACATATTTATATATGTGCATTTTATATAAGATTGTCGTAAGAATGTATGCATAAATCGATTAAAACCCTACTCAATAGCTATTGTAAAAGAAATAAAATAAAGTCTGTGAACATTGCAACAACGCATGCGCATTTTATTATTTATAATCCTTCGCATAAAAATACAGTTACTATTATCTAAATCGCCTTTATACAATTAACGGTGGTGTATTTAGATAACATTAGCAAGCAAAATAATTCACTAAGAAGTCAGTGCAAACTGTAGCTTCGGTTTACCAACAACTACCATAGAAAGTTGCTGTCAAATTATTTATTAAATACATTTGAACGTTGTTCACTTAAAAAGGAATCTACTTTTAGGCGCACACTGTCACATCGCCATCCACAAATGAATCCCATAAGCGACGATGCCGCGCCAATTCTACGACCGCTTGCGCCCACTTTACAGAAAATCGCCTGCGAAGAGCTGAATGAGGTGCCCAATCGTGTGGCCGACGATGTGCTGGCTCTGCGTCAATGGATACACAAACAGCCGCATTTGAATGCGCGCACGAATGATCAATTTCTCGTCGGCTTTCTGCGCGGCTCCAAGAATAGTTTGGAGAAGGCGAAGCAGAAAATCGATCGTTATTACACATTGAAAGCAGCCTTGCCGGAGGTGTTCAATGAGCGGCGACAAGTGGACGATCCGCTTGTAATGGAAATTGTGCGCCTGGGGTAAATATTAACAATGAGTTTCATAATAATGTAGAATTTCAGTGTTATAACTTTCCATTTATAGCATCATTTTACAGATACCGCTGCCCGCGAACTACCATGGCCCCTGCATAACGATCATACGCGCATGCTCGTATGACACTACCAAATATAAATTCGCCGATATTGTACGTGTCGGTTCGATGTTTGGTGAAATTTTGACAATCGAGGATGACAATTCCACGGTTAGCGGCTATACTGAGATTATGGATATGTCTAATGTGAGTCCTCATCATTTTCTGCAATTGAAACCAGATTTGCTGCGAAAGTGTTCGATTTTCGCTGAAGAGGCAATGCCAATGCGTCAACGTGGCACACATTTTATTAATGTACCGGCGGCGTTCGAGAAAGGCTTCAGAACACTAAGCACATTCTTTCCGGAGAAAATGCTCAGTCGGGTGAGTGTATAAAAGCGCAATATTTTATTATGTAAATTATTGTTATATTATATAAATATTTTGTCTAACTTCTGTCTTCACACAGATTTCAGTCAACTCTAATCCCGAAGCGTTGTTTGACTTCGTGCCACGCGAACACTTGCCGCAGGAGTATGGCGGTGAGAATGGCACCATAGCCGATATTGTTGAGTGTATGGAGGCGAAATTGTTGCGTTATCGCGACTACTTTTTGCTGGAAACGAAATTCGGCACCAACGAAAAGTTGCGCGAGGGTATGCTCTGTAATTATGAGAACTGTTTCGGACTGGAGGGTTCATTCCGTAAACTAGAAGTCGATTAGCCACAAGCTATTTTTATTCATTTCATATTTTTTCTTTGATATTTGCTGTGTTTATATACATACATATATAATAAAATAAAGTTATATATAATAGAGATTGTGACTGGATATTCCCAGTGGATATCTGTATAAGTTATTGATTAAAGTAATGAACGTGTCAAAATAAAACAATGTAAAGCAAAATTTATTATCTTTTTGATCGTAAGATGTAATAAAAAATTAGCAAAACTATATAAATTCTAAGTATTAGCATAAACAACACTAAAAGGTGTTTTAATTTTTTCGACAACTACTAAAAATTACCATAAATGTTATAAGAAAAATTACAAAAAAAAAATCAGATAGGTTAGTTGGCTTTTCGCGTTAGTCTTCGGTTGGCGAATATCTTACGAACTAAACTTGCCAAAGTTTTATAATAAATTTAGTTGATAAAAATTAAGTTCAAATTCAATACTAACGTCAAACTTGTTCCGAAAAATTCAAAGATTCTATGATATTGCTTGCGTACATACAAAAGATGTTGAGCAATGAAGAGCGTTTATTTTTTCAGGAGTACCACAGAAATAGATTTTGCTGATGTTTCGCTATAATAAAAAAATGTAGCGAAAAAACATGATATATGCAAAATTTGGAATATTTACTCTAGACTCAAGATAATCCTTATACCACCAATTAATAATATATATTTTGAAATACTACTTATGTAAGTATATATATAAATATCTGTATTTATACTTTTGTTTCAATATAACAATCATTTGTTGGATATTTGTAATCTTCTTAGGAATATATATACATATGTATTCATAGCTCTTATAATAATTTTGGCATTTGAATTGGATTACTATTAATTGCACATGAAAATATATAGCAATTAGATAAGCTTTTGCCTAATCTCAAAATTTTATTGCTCAAACATACTTGTATACATATGTATAATATTAGTGATTAAGTATGGAACAATTGCCTTAGGCTAAGCACATAGTGAGAGCGATGTACTGCAGAGTGAGATAAGCAGTGAAAAAGTAATAATTATTGTTAAAATGAAAATCGTATAAAAGTTTAAGGCAACTTTTTAAGATTAGTAATAGTAGCCATGTACCGTGTTTATATTTAAACAAATTTAACGAAATCGAAATTAATGAAATATCTTTATTGTGATATGGGAAAATTTTCCAATGATTTCAACAGTACTGTTGGCCTTGTAGCTTAAGGAAACTAAAAATCAAATCCTTTTGTTTTTCACACCGAATTTGAGCGTACAGAAGGCAAAATACCGGAAGTGAAAAGCAATTAACTTCTATAACGTAAAATTATTTCGCACTAAACACACAGTACAACTTCACTTTTATCTTCATCTCATGTAGAATTATTGAAATGTTCGCTGCTGCACTCACTATGTATTTTGCTTTAGGCATGTCACTGAACTTAAATAATGCTAAAAATGCCAAATAAGTTCTCTTTGCAAATAAAAGTTGGTTATCGTACTAAGATTGTACAAAATTACTTTTAGATTGTGATACCATCTTATTTCACTAACGCTCTTCATATATAGAAATAGCACAATTTAAGCTTTCTTATCCATATCAATTGATTAAGCTATTATTGACGAATTTAAATGACTGTGCGCAAACACACAGAGTATGAAATAGGTCTGGTATTAAGCGCAGCTAAAAAGAACACCAAATTTTTGACTCACCACAAAGTAGCAAAGCACTCAAATAGTCTACAAAGACCTGGTTAGACGAAAGGTCGTTTGCAGTAGTTTTCAAAAAAAATTGTAATCGTAAAAGAGAAAACAATGTCACAACTCTCTGTAAGACCACTAAATGCACAACTTCAAGCGGCTGCAATTAAAGAATTGAATGAGGTGCCCCAACGTGTGGCGGCCGACATCGAGACATTACGCAGCTGGATCCAACAGCAGCCACATTTGCGTGCACGTGACGACGATCAATTTTTGCTCGCTTTCCTGCGTGGCTGCAAATTTAGTCTGGAGAAGGCCAAAAGCAAAATTGACAAATTCTATACATTACGCACCAAATATCCGGAATTTTTCACCATCAATGATGTAGATGAAGAAAAGGTGCGCGAACTAATAAATACCGGGTAAATGTTTTAATACTTTTATGTTGAGCAAATTTTTAGAACTTCTTTATAATTGCACAGCATACTAGTATATTTGCCGACGCCGTTAAATGGAAATGGACCACGTATTGCTGTAGTGACCGTAGGCAGTTATACAGTTGATAGATATTCCATAGAAGATGTTGCGCGGACTATGGATGGCATACAGGAGATACTAATGCTGGAAGATGACTATGCCGTTATCTATGGTATAACAACAATAGTTGATGTGAAAAAGGCGTCCACAGCGCATTTAATGCAAATGACACCATCGAGTCTGAAGAAAATGAGTATTTTCTCGGAAGAAGCTTTGCCATTTCGCACGAAGGGTACACATTTCATAAATATACCAAGCGGTTTTGAGGCATTTTTCAACATACTCAAACCAATGCTGTCGAAAAAACAACAAAAGCGAGTGAGTAAATGTCGATAAATTCGACTTATTCCAGTAGTTGCAAAGCATTATGAGACTATTAATAATTCTAGTTTATGCTAAGTATAAATTGAATTTGCGCACTTAAACCAAAATTTTCTCACTGCAATTATAGCTTTCTCTGCATGGCAACAAACTGGATAAACTTGACGAGCATATCCCCTTGAAATATTTACCTAAAGAATATGGTGGTGAGAATGGTTCCATTGCAGAGTGCATTGTCGAACTCAATCAGAAACTCGATAAGTACCGGGAATACTATAAGGCGAATGCCCAATATGGTACGGACGAAAAGCTTCGTCTTGGTAAACCTGTCGATTTCGATCAACTTTTTGGTGTGCAGGGTTCTTTTAGAAAGTTGGAAGTAGACTAAGTAAATACATAATTAAAACACTGATTTTGTTTTGCAAGCATGTTTATATGTACGAATGTATAAGTACAAAACTGTATGTAACAAGTAAGTTTGGTTGTTTTTTAATGCTTTTTTTATGGTGAAGCTACAAGCTTTTCAGTTTATTAAACTGTCGAAATTTTCAATTGGCCACACTTACTACACTGTGATGGAATTTTTAAGGTTCTAATATATACCGTTTGCCGTTTGTAGTCTAAAAATTATGTCTCTATTTCAGTGATCAGTAAAACTGTTCAGTTCGCGGTTCAAAGTTTTTTAGAAAGGTAGAATTTTCCGTTTTTTAGACAGCAGATCGCTTCAGTACTGGTAACGGTACAACTTTGTTGGCGTTAAAGTGAGCGTGTAGACACAGCAAGTAAATCGATAATTCTCTTTTCCAGATTGTGTCGTGATACAACAACATGGATAACCATTAGTAACAGCAAGATGTACCACATCAATTTGTTGATAAGTGTTTACTATACGTATATCAAGACTTATATGCTGAATAGAAGAAATTGATAATCTCAAGCTTCTAATATATGTATTTTATATTGCAGTATATATATACATATGTACGCACAAAGTTATAAATGTTACTGCAAATTCTTATCATTTCGGGATCTAATCAATAAACCAATACTATACCGTTTTATTATTGATAAAATTTCTGAAACATTTTGCTTGTATACGGCAAGTGTTCGATATTAGTTGACTTTCGAGTGCTTTATTGAACAGTACAAAGATTTACTCTATTTTTACAAACACACACCGCCGTGCCCACACAATGGCAGAACTTAAAATACGCAGAATTAACGCAGAATTGCAGAAAATCGCCAACGAGGAGTTGAATGAGCTGCCCGAACGTGTTGGCGCCGATATTGAAGCGCTACGCACCTGGATCAAGCAGCAGCCACATTTGCGTGCACGTGACGATGATCAATTCTTGCTCAGTTTCTTGCGTGGCTGCAAATTTAGTTTGGAAAAGGCGAAAAGTAAAATTGACAAATTCTATACATTACGCACAAAATATCCGGATTTCTTCGGCGCTTTCGATGCGGATGAGGCAACGATTCGAGCGATCATTAATGCTGGGTGAGAAATCAAACGATTTAATTGCATTTGGTTTAAGAAAATTATACACATTTACGCATGAATTTATGTGCTTAATAGCATAATATTGTTGTTGCCGAAACCATTGCACGAACATGGCGCACGCATTATACTCATACGGCAAGGTGCACTGCCAGCTGATAAATACACTATTGAACATTTCATACGCGCCGTGAGTCATTTGCAAGAGATCATAATACGCGAAGATGATCACGCCATCATATCGGGTGTAATATCGATTATTGATATAGAAGATTGTACAACTGCACATGTTATGCAGATGACGCCTAGTGTTATGAAGAAAATGTCCGTACATGCCGAGGAGGCGGTGCCTTTACGACCGCAGCAACAACATTTCATACATATACCCAGTGGCTTTGAAACAGTTTTCAATGCAATGCGTCCACTCATGACCAAGAAACAACAGAATAGAGTAAGTTTTTAAAAGCTCCGCAGGTGCAAAATTAGTTTTATTAAGGTCAAGAGCTAAAAAAAAAAATGTATATGTATTCTAGATTTCAGTGCATGCCGAAAAGTTGGATAGATTTTACGAACACGTTCCACTGTCTTATCTGCCCGTGGAATATGGCGGCGATAATGGCACGTTAGCAGAGATAATCAACTACACGAACAAACAATTGGATGAGTATCGAGAATATTTTAAGGAGAATAAAAATTATGGCACTGATGAAAGCTTGCGTTCGGGCAAAACCGTCGATTACGACAGTTTATTTGGTGTGGAGGGTTCGTTCAGAAAACTGGAGGTGGACTAGATTTTCCTTTTAATGAGCCTTTTTCACTATATCACAATTAACATTTGTTTGAAACTACATATTTTTGGTTTTTTTATAAAATAAAGAAAACTAAATAAATACTTTTAAGTTTACGTTAACAACAACACATAAATATAGTACTCGAAATCATAATACTCGTAAACATACTATACTTTTGCACTTTTACATATACCTTTTCAAATTTTGCAGACATGATTAAAACCAGTATAAAATGTGTGTCTTAGCGAATGAACTATAGTCATGGCACTTTTGCTCAGTATATTTTTTTTTTATTAGAGAGATGTATATACTTTTTCCAATGAAATTAAATATTTATTCTGTGTTTTAATTGTTTGTTTCATTATTAACGTAGAAATGAAAAGTGGCTAGCGAATTATTTTGAGCTAACCAAAACACAAATGCAGTTATAGTACTTACGAGAGCGGTGCGATAAGAACTTATTTTGAAAAAATGCCGTTTTTCCTCAATGTATTCCCCTTTCATATAGTTCGATACACTGGACCCAGCGATGCTCCAATTTCTTTAACACATCTGAAATATGTATATATTTTCTGTAGAATTGTATGGTGTGCCTTTGTAGCGGCATTAATCTTCGCACTCGACTCAAATTTTCGACTTGCGGCTTGTTCTCTAATAGGCCCAATAATTTAGTATACTAGGGTAGTAAAGACAGGAATAAATGTTCTGGCCCATAGGAGTGTCTTCGGAGCATGTTCGACGAGTATAGCTTACTGTTTTCACTTCTCCTTGATCTCGCCGACAGCCTTCAATGTGAATGTAATGCGCGATAGTAGATTTATTTTGTGACGCCATAGGCCGGTGTGGCTAAATACCTATCGGATCGCTCTCGTAAAGAAAAAGTGAAAGCCTTGCCCCTTGATTTGCTCTGATCATTTAGATATAATATATGTGTACTAGATTTGCGTTTGCTTTGTTAACACGTTTCTTATAATGGAATTCGCAGAAAACCTTACAAATCAGCAAGCAAAGTTCATGTATGCATACTTTGCAATGAATTATTTGAAAAATAATTAACTCATTTCCGCTTATATATTTAATGAATATTAGATAGAAAACTCCATTGATCATCTATTGAATTTGTAGCATACAAACACCCAGGCTTTAAAGAATAAACGACGAATTCATATAATCGGAACGAATTCAATGGTACGGAATCTTAAAAAAAAAGCACGTTTAGACTGGATGTTTTGAGATTTGAGTTGATCAAAGAGCTCGAATTTGCATAAAATACGCTTCCTTAGCGGTCTATTCCAATGTGTAATAATATTTATTTTTATTAATCACTCTGTATTGCTTAGCTTAGATTATTTTCACCAGGACGAACATTTACTTGCATTTATAGACTAAAAATTAATATAATATATTAAAACCTTATGTACCCGGCCAGCTTTAATCATTTGGTCTCTGATATTGATAAGATGCCAAACTCACATTGCTTATGAAGTATGGATTTCATTAATTTCATATTTTCAGCATCCCGTCTTTAGTGGCTTATGAGTTTAGCATGCAATAAAAGGGGGTATGTGTTTTACAAACCGCTTTTTGTATTTCACATTAGAGTCGCACAATTAAAAACATATAAATTATATAACTTTAAAATGTCTTCAAATTAGCTATAATTTTAATCTCCGAACCTTTAAGTACGATCCAATGACGTATAATTTGCTATACGCAAGCTGATTCTAATGACCGCTATATACGAGTATGAACAAAGTTATAATACCATAGTGCAACTAATATGCTCGAGTATTAAAAACAGCTACTTTTTTATACCCATAAATTTAAAATATAATAATATATATTGCATTGTCAAACGATGAATGTTGTAGGTTCAAAGTAAAAGTCGCTTTTATTTATAAATAAATACAAATGCATTGTATATTTGGGTATATTGAGGGCTTTCACACGTCAGTACAGTTTAGTTGTCGCAAATAGCGCACAACAATATCCTACAATCAACGGAAATAATTGACACACCACTAACGTCTAAAATACATACAATAATGACGACACCGAATATACGTCCGTTATCAGAACACCTACAAGAGGTGGCTATTAAAGAGTTAAATGAGAGACCTGAGCGGTTGGCAGAAGATCTAGAGGCGTTAAAGACCTGGGCTATCAAGGAGCCACATTTAAATGTGCGACTCGATGACCAATGGCTGGTAGCATTCCTGCGCGGCTGCAAGTTCAGTTTAGAGAAGGCGAAGTCGAAATTGGATTGGTACTATACATTAAAAACCAAATATCCGGATTACTACGCAGTACAAAATCCGGATGTACCCAATTATAGAGAACTCGTAAAATATGGGTAAATATTAGACTTGTTAATTTTAGTGAAATAATATGGAATTCATAAAATACTTACGCCACAGATATGCGGAAATGAAGCAGTCAGTAAATTACAATTTTTTTGTATTTAAATTTTTATTTAAACTTCTAAAGCTTAAATGATCTTTTTATATGACATGACACTTGAATTTACTTAACTTAAAGTTCGTGTGAGTGCAATTCAAAAACAATATGTACATATTCCGCGTTCACATGCTAAATAGAAAGAAGTATAAAAAGTGTCAGGATGTCCTTTGAAAACAAATAAAATCGACCGATTAGTTTCCGTCGGAATTACACAGGGAAGCTACAGTGTCTTTCAGAAACCGCAAGAGAGATTCCCCCGTGTATATAAGCTCCCTCTGATCTAGTATTCACTACAATATACGTAAAGTTAAAGCATGACTCTAACCATATTGTTTATATCGCACTCAAACCCTTCATATACCAACCACAACTCTCCTAGGAGTCCGTTGCCATGATAATAGCTCACTACTTAAATTTATGGTTAATTTCAAATATATATTTTTTTTTCACAGTGTGGGATTATCATTGCCAATACCATTAAATGAGACTGGACCACGCATTATATTTAACCGTTTCGGTATGTATCCAGTTGATAAATATACAATTAAAGATCTAATTCCTACAACGAGTGCACACCTGGAGCTAATTATGCTCAGTGATGACACTGCCGTAGTGAATGGTTTTGTTAATCTGATAGACGCTGCCAAAGTGGACGCTGCACATTTGGCACAATATACACTGACTATTTTAAAGAAGTCGTTGGGTTTTGCCGAGAAAGCTTCCCCATTGCGCCAAAGCTCAGTACATTTCTTTAATGTACCAGCAGGTTTTGAGAAGCTTTACAACATGCTTAAGCCTCTGCTTCCAGAAAAACAAAAGAATCGCGTAAGTATGCAAAATATCATTAGAATGTATAACATATACATTTGATTACAATTGATTTTTTAATACTTTGCAAAAACAGATATTTTTTCACGGCAACAGTTTGGAGACCCTCTATGCTCATATACCAAAAAAATATATGCCCATACAATATGGCGGTGAAAATGGTTGCCTTGATGAACTTGAGAAGTCCACATTCCAACAATATCTTGATCATCGTGATTTTTTCATAGAGGATGTCAAATATCGAAATAATGAAGATTTACGTGTTGGCAAACAACCGGATTATGAAAGTTTATTTGGTATTGAAGGTTCATTTCGAAAAATCGATGTGGACTAGTCGTTTACTAAACAGATAACGACTGGAGGGTAACTTTAAGTCTTAGAAATTAAAAACAAAAAACATTAATAACAATAAAAAACAAGACCCGGTTTTTAATTTGAAACAGATGATAATAAAGAATGAACATGCTTTTAAACAATAAGTTGATGCATTATGTACAATATCACTAAACTCTTTCAATATTTTTACCCTGAGCTATATTACATCGGAGACCTTATAAGGTATATAAATGTATAAATGAGCAGCGTGATGAGCTGAGTCAATGTAGCCATGTCCGTCTGTATATACGCTAACTAATCTTTCAGATTATGAGATATCGATCTGAAATTTTGACATGTCCTCAAAATGCTTCTCATTTGTCGATACCGATATTAAACCACTCTAGGACATAACTGCCATACAAGCAGATCGATCATACTCAAATCCCTGTATGAAAAACTTCTTCATTTGACAAGGTACCTTCACGAAATTTAACGTTTTTACTTGCAAGATTGTTTGACAAGGCTTTATAGAAGCAAGGGTCAAATTTGGACGATGGGCGTGGCACCACCCACCTTTAGGTGAAACCCCATATCTCGGCAGTAGGACCTGATTTCAACCAAAATTATCTTTACATTCCTACATTACAGTGTGAAAATGAGCGAATTCAGACGAAAACCATGCCTACTTCCCATGTAACACAAATTTAAATTACATCTGATTTTCTTTCAATCAATGTATCCGGATAAAACTTTGCATAATTAGTGCGTTTGAGATATGCCATCTTATGACGAAAAGTTGTCCAAATCGGACTACAACTGTTCAAGCTCCCAGATACAGAATATGTGAACCCCAGTTCGTATTGCGAACTATTAATCGAAAATATCGTACCGTACCGTACTCGTATACACTAGTTAATATGTAGGATATCTTAGCAAAATTAACTGAACGTTTAATATTGGATATACTAAAGTTCGATGCCGAAGAAATATGAAATTGGCCCATGAAGTACCCAAACTCCCATATACTACATATAATGATTTTCGTTATTCTAACAAACCTTATATCGAATATGTTATATACGAGTATGTTAGCCTTATCGATATCACGTTTGAAAACAGCCACCGCCAAACCGTAATCAGATTTATCGGCACGTTCAATTACCACATCCAAAGAATTAAAATGGCACGCGTCCGAAGGCTTCATCTCGTGCAATTGTCATGTGATCGTGCACATCGGTGAATACAGTTGAGTGAACAAAATAGACAGGCATGTGGGTGGTGCATATCGTTATAATTTTATCTTTATAAATGGATTTATATTCATATTATTTTAATTTATTCTATGTATTGTATATATATATATGTATATACATATAAATTATTTATTATATACATAAATTATAAATTTATAAATATAAATTAAAATTAAACCCGGCTAATAACAAAGCGATATATACAATTGTTTATTTTTTAGATTATTTAGTTTTTGTCATTTGGTCTCTGATATTGATAAGATGCCAAACTCACATTGCTTATGAAGTATGGATTTCATTAATTTCATATTTTCAGCATCCCGTCCTTAGTGGCTTATGAGTCTAGCATGCAATAAAAGGGGGTATGTGTTTTACAAACCGCTTTTTGTATTTCACATTAGAGTCGCACTATTAAAAATATATCAATTATATAACTTTAAAAAGTGTTCAGATTAGCTGTAATTTTAATCTCCAAACCTTTAAGTACGATCCAATGACGTATAATTTGCTATACGCAAGCTGATCCTAATGTCCGATATATACGAGTATGAGCAAAGTTATAATACCATAGTGCAACTAATATGCTCGAGTATTAAAAACAGCTACTTTACCGACATACACTTTGATTCTTAATTATAATAAACGATATTGATGTTAATGTTGTAGGTTCAAAGTAAACATCGTTTTTATTTAAAAATTAGTACAAATGCGTTGTATATTTGGGTATATTGAGAGCTTTTGGACGTCAGTACAGTTTAGTTGTCGCAAATAGCGCACAACAATATCCTACAATCAACGGAAATAATTGACACACCACTAACGTCTAAAATACCTACAATAATGACGACACCGAATATACGTCCGTTATCAGAACACCTACAAGAGGTGGCTATTAAAAAGTTAAATGAGAGACCTGAGCGGTTGGCAGAAGATCTAGAGGCGTTAAAGACCTGGGCAATAAAAGAGCCACATTTAAATGTGCGACTCGATGACCAATGGCTGGTAGCATTACTGCGCGGCTGCAAGTTCAGTTTAGAGAAGGCGAAGTCGAAGTTGGATTGGTACTATACATTAAAAACCAAATATCCGGATTACTACACAGTACAAAATCCGGATGTGCCGAATCTTAGAGAACTCGTAAAATATGGGTAAATATTAGAATTGTTAATTTTAGTGAAATAATATGGAATTCATAAAATACTTACGCCACAGATATGCGGAAATGAAGCAGTCAGTAAATTACAATTTTTTTTTTTTGTTTTTTATTTAAACTTCTAAAGCGTAAATGATCTTTTTATATGACATGACACTTGAATTTACTTAATTTAAAGTTCGTGTGAGTGGAATTCAAAAACAATTAAAAAGATGTACATATAATTATCGCGTTTCACAGGCTAAATCGCAAGAAGCGTAAAAAAGTGTCAGAATGTCCTTTGAAAAGAAATAAAATAGGCCGATTAATTTCAGTCGGAATTACACAGGGCGACGTCTGTTTGAAGCTACAGTGTCTTTCAGAAACCGCAAGAGAGATTCCTCACATTATAATGTCCGACCCGATATACATATACATATGCCGCGTGTCGTAATACTCAAAAGAAAGCTTAAGCAGTTGAAGAGCTCGGTTTCCTTTACGAATCGTATTTAAGATAGGAGGGAATTATTTAGGAATCACAACAGTATGCGCAAAGTTAAAGCATGACACCTATCATCTCTTTGTATCGCTTCTCAAACCTTTCCTATCAGCCACAACTCTCCCAGGAGTCCATTGCCATGAAAATAGCTCACTACTTAAATTTATGGTTAATTTCAAATATATATTTTTTTTTCACAGTGTGGGATTATCATTGCCAATACCATTAAATGAGACTGGACCACGCATTATATTTATCCGTGTCGGTATTTATCCAATAGATAAATATAAACTTAAAGATATATTGACTGTAACGTATGCACAAACAGAGCTAACGATGCTCAGTGATGACACTGCAGTGGTAAATGGTTTTGTTAATCTGATAGACGCTGCCAAAGCGAACGCTGCACATTTGGCACAATATACACCGACTATTTTAAAGAAGTCGTTGTGTTTTGCCGAGAAAGCTTTACCATTGCGTCAAAGCTCAGTACATTTCTTTAATGTACCAGCAGGTTTTGAGAAACCATACAATATGATTAAGCCTATGCTTTCATCCAAACAGAAGGACCGCGTAAGCTTGCAAAATATAATAGTAAATTACAACATGTAGATATGTTTTGTTTAAAATTTTTTTATACTCTGCAAAAAAACAGATTTTTATACATGGCAACAATTTGGAGACACTCTATGCTCATATACCAAAAAAATATATGCCCATACAATATGGCGGTGAAAATGGTTGCCTCGATGAACTTGAGAAGTCCACATTCCAACAATATCTTGATCATCGTGATTTTTTCATAGAGGATGTCAAATATCGAAATAATGAGGATCTACGTGTTGGCAAACAACCGGATTATGAAAGTTCATTTGGTATTGAAGGATCATTTCGAAAAATCGATGTGGACTAGTCGTTTACTAAACAGATAATGACTGAAGGTTCACTTTACGGTTTGGAACTTAAGAAAGAAGAACATGAATAAAATAAAATAAATAAACCCGATTTTTAATTTAAAAACGGTCTGAAATTTTCCACATGTCCATTTCTCCCCAAGAAGCTGATCATTTGTTGGAACCGCCGATATTGGACCACTATAGGACATAGCTTCCATACAAGCAGATCGATCATACTCAAATCCCTGTATGGAAAACTACTTTTTTTGCCAAGTTACTTCACGAAATTTAATCCTTTTCTTAGATTTAATTTTAAATGACAGCAATGTTTGAAGTAGTACGGCAAAACAATGAAGTCTAGTTGTAGAGTTATTAAATGCGTAAGTTCAAACTTATAGTATTTCAATTTATTCCAAAACTTAAATAACTACAGTCCAAATGCTGAAGCGCCGACGGCGACGCAATGATGTAACTTATAATAGCAGTTTCCGATGATCAGATGAAGTATATAAGTAAACTAGACATACAGTTGTCCTGAGTTATTATTGTATATATATCCACATTTCTCCCTTACCATGAAAGTTGCGATAAAATTTAATTTTAGTTTTTTAATCTATATGAAATACAATATGTATTTATGTATGCTGTGTAGTAATTCTGAATCAGTTAAGAGATTTAACAGAACTTTGCAAACAATTTGAATTTATAAAATCTATGACAGTGTAAGGAAACTGTGCGCCTTTATTTAAACTTCGGATGTTTTGCACTAATATTACAAATAACATAACACAAGCAGACATCAGTAGCTTAGGATATAATGTTCAATATCACCATTTAAGAGCTCTTTTGCGAGATCTTCATAATCACACTCTTAACCTCGGTGTAGTTTTGTAACGCATATTCACCATTTTCACGACCATGACCGGACATCTTGTAGCCACCGAATGGCGCTTGTGCCATCAATGCGTTGTATGTGTTTACCCAGACGGTACCGGCGCGTAAGCCCTGCACGATGTAGTGAGCCTTGTCGATATCACGTGTGAAGACAGCCGCCGCCAAACCATAATCAGATTTATTGGCACGTTCAATTACCTCATCCAAAGACTTGAAACGGATGAGCTGTTGCACGGGTCCGAAGATTTCATCACGTGCAATTGTCATGTGATCGTGCACATCGGCGAATACAGTTGGCTCAACAAAGTAGCCAGGCGAGTGGGTGGCGCGACTACCGCCAGCAACCAATTTGGCACCTTCGTTTTTGCCCTGTTCAATTAAACCGAGTATACGATGAAGTTGATCTTGATCGATTTGTGGTCCTTGTTCGACATTCAATTCAAAGGGATTACCAACGGTACGCTTCTTAGCACGCTCAGCGCTGCGTTCAACAAACTCATCATAGATTCTATCTTCAACAAAGGTACGCGAACCAGCACAACAAGTTTGTCCCATATTGAAGAAAAGACCAAAGTGTGAGGTCTCGACTGCATAGTCCATATCGGTATCCGCTAAAACAATGTTTGGACTCTTGCCGCCCAATTCCAAAGTGACACGTTTCAAATTGCTACGACCCGAAGCTTGCTGTATCAGTTTGCCAACCTCAGTGGAGCCGGTGAATGCGACCTTATCGACATCATGATGATTGGCTAGAGCAGCACCAGCATCGCCAAAACCTGGCAATACATTTACCACACCTTCTGGGAAGCCAGCTTCCTTGATCAATTGCGCAATATAGAGCGCAGACAAACTTGTCTGTTCTGCCGGTTTTAACACAATGGTATTGCCAGTAGCAAGAGCTGGGCCCAATTTCCAAGCCATCATGAGAATTGGGAAATTCCATGGAATAATTTGTGCGCAAACACCAACGGGTTCGTGGCGCGTGTAAGCAAAGTAATCACCATCTACGGGTAAGGTCTTGCCGTGATTCTTATCAGCCCAACCGGCAAAATATCGTAAGTTCTTAATAGCCGACGGCACATCAACATTATAGGCGACAGCATAGGGCTTGCCATTGTCCAATGTTTCCAAACTCTACTAGTAAGAAAGGCGCTGTTTATATATCAGAAAAGTGTTATTGCGCAACAGAACTTACCGCCAAATAGACGCGATCGCGCTCCATCAAATCAGCTAACTTATTCAAATGTACACCACGCTCGGAGGCATCCATGTGACGCCATGGTGAACCAACTCTGCAATAATAAATAAAATTATAAAGTTCAAATTCTATGTGTGTATATATCAACTGGTGGCTCAACTAACTTGAAAGCGGTGCGGGCGGCCTGTACAGCGATGTCAACGTCTTCCTTTCCGGCGCACTGGATTTCAGCAACATTTTGCTCGGTGGTGGGATTTATGGAGCCGAATGTTTTACCACTTTTGCTCTTATGCCATTCGTTGTTGATAAAAAGCTGAAATAAATAAATTACCACAGGCGATAAAATATGAACGTTAAACAAAAGAAAAAAGTCAAATGAATTATGTATTCGAATCATGTGCAGTAATAGGCTTTTTACAAAAACTCTTAGCTATAATAGATGAAGAGGTGCAAAATACACATCAATTTATAGGTTATGTCCTAAAATCGTTGTTACAAAAGTTGTAGATCTTTTCGTTACCTACAACTTTGAAATATGACTTTTTTCTAAATGCATGGAATCAAGATAAGCCGTCTTTAAACCCATTCAACCACGACCCTCAGATCGGCCGAAAATTATTTTCCTTTCATTTTTATTATTTTATCTTTCGTTTGCAATTAGTTTCACCCTGCTATGAATTTTTCAGTTTCTTCTGCACTATTCTATGTTTTCTATAATTAAATTGGCAATTTTTTTTTTTATATAAATGAAAGTTGAAGCTACTGAGAGTGGAAATATGGTATGCTAAACTGCTACTAGTCATATTAGGGACTAATTTAAAGCTATAGCTGGATGATCACGGCAATATTTACCAAATTGCGTGCACCGGCATTCTCCAAAAATAGTTTGTCTCGTCGAGTGTAGTCTTTAATCTTATGTTTATGAAAAATAGTACAAACTGGTAGCGTATGTATTCTAACAGAATTTTGATGATTCTTTAATTCCGATCCACCCATTGAACAGTGAAACAAGGGAATTAAATCTGATGAGTTGCTGTATTTTTTTTTTTTTGTTGTGTAGTTGACCGTGCTCAAAATTTTGACAGGTGAGGGTTACGAGTTGAATTGTCCAGTTAAAATGTCGCAGGACCGTCAATAAATAAGTGAAAAAATTTGAGTAATGAATCACAACAAATATATTTTTGAATAAAAACTTTATTGAAAAATTAAAAAAGAAATATACAAAATATTTATTGACTTAATAATAGAAAATTCATACAAGATTGATGGATACGTTGAGTTGCGACCTCTTTAAAACGTATCGCCATTAAACGTTCGTTTTTTAATGCTTCTGAGTGTTCACCAAACAAATAAAAAACGCCGAAATCAATTTCATTTTGTTCTAACCATCTTGGTGTCCAAAATGCATCATGGTCACCCACAGGTTTTTCCAGATTTTTATCATTATAAGACGGACAACGTACGGGAATAGCTATACTCGATACGAATTGAGCCTTCGATCCATGCGAATCATAATCAATTCTTTTATTCACAATATCCTTTGGGTACGTTCTTTCAGTCAATCCTATGTATGATGTTATACAATGAATGTCTTCATTTAACTCTGTCCGTTCGTATTTGTCTGGCATTATGTCATCAGGATTTGAAAGACAAGTATTGGCAACGAATTCATCTTTTCCATCTAACTCAGCCGTACTCCATTTAGCACCTGGAATTGGATTGTATTCCCAGAAATGCTTGCGTATTTCCATTGGAGTTTCCGGATCAGCGAGTGTACTGACAATTTCACGTAAATTAGTATAACGTACATTAATAGGATCGCAACGTTGTTCATCTTTTAAATGTGGCAAAAATGGCACAAAGTTATCGTGTCCATATTTCATGTACCCAACGGAGGATAATAATTTATATATAATAGCAAAGTCTGCGCCAAGCCATTTAATACTATCAGTGAATTCAGGTAGAATTGGTTCATCGGAATTGTTGTAATTTATAAAAGAATTTTTAAAACCTTCATTTATTTTCACATGCAATCTCAATAAAGTAACACGATACAGTGCATTTGTCAAGTCATACCAATCTTTATCTTTGTATTTACTTTCCAGCATATTTCGACTTCTCCTAATTAACACACGAACGGTAAAACCAACTGATCGCGTACTGATTGGTAATAATATAGGACTAGAAGGCATGTTTTATTATTTATAATAGCCAATCGGGTTTTGTTCGAAAAATATCTTTTTTACTTAAATGGTGAAGATATAAATTTTTTTTTGTTTTGTACAATGGTTTTTCTTTTACAAATAAGTTTTAGCTTTTCCACAACTGATCACTTCTTGTGGAACAAGCTTAACGAAGCCTTGCCAATAGGTTGCAAAAAACATTGTCGCTGCAAGTCGAGAATGATAGAATACAATCCAAGCGTTCCACATATCAATTTATTTTATAACAATTACACATACATATCTCCGTAAGTATTGTTGTATGTATGTATGTATTATATTATCATCAAATGAACTTACATATTTACTAAATAAAAAGCACATATCGACGTAAGTAAGTTTAAGTATATACATATGTAAAATTCTATTTGTATAGTTATCTGATTTGTTAAAAGTTGTAAGAATCTACTTAAGCGAGGAATTTGCTGCCGTTATTCGTTTACGTGTATGTAAAGCAGTTGTAGTAGTTAGCCATTATTCAATATTATTTTGTGTGTAATTTAACTTTATATACTGTAATTTATCAATATATATCAAAAGATAAGCATATCCATTTACTGTATACTTAATTTGATTCGTTTATCCAATTTAGCTGCAATAATAAATTATGGCGGCAACTAGAAAGAAGTTTCCACCAACAAACATAGCAACTAAGTATGTAAAAAAAATATGTTACTAAATATTTTTTGTCCGAATATTAATATTTTTAGTAATTAGTTTTAAGCATACAAAGTACTTTACAATTACTACTAACGGTTTAAAATTCACAAATGCGATTAGACTTGTTGGCTAGAAAATTTCTAATCTAATCTAAAACAATGATAATTCCGCAAGATATATTTATGTATGTATGTACTAAAATACTGCAAGCTTTAAATATCTTTTAAAATTTTTTGATTTTATAAATGCATTAATACATATGCACATTAGTAGACCCATATACTTAAATAATATTTTAGATCGCAAATTCTTACAATAATGTTAGTGAAATATCAAATTACCTGCGATTGCGTTAATAATAAATAAATTCATATTGTTTACAATAGCTTAGCCATAAAAATAATGAAGAAATATGTAGAAGTATTATCTTTTGATGCGGCGCTCAACAGCTGTTCACGAAGCAAAACCGAAAGTATCAACTAACAAAAAATTCAAATAATTAAAAAATGTGGTCGCATTAAAAAAAATAAAAACAAGAAAAAACGTTAGCTTTGGACGCACCGAAGCTATAATACGCTTCATAGGTGCATTCCCTATAGCATAAAAGGATATAAGAAGATCTTTATCTTGCCAGTTTGTATGCCAGCTATATGCTATAGTGCTTCTTGAGGAGAAAAGAACGTGTGCAAAATTTCATAAAAAATTAAAATAAATAAATTTTTAATAAAGTACTACTTAATCTTGTTTACTTAGTGAATGTAAAAAAAAAATTATAAAAAGGTGAGCAACATAATACATATTAAGCATAGTTTTTTTCAATACAAATTTGCACACACATTTAATGTTTTTTGCGATCGCTCAGCTGTTAAAAGTCATCAATCACTTAGCTGTTAAGTCGCTGTTTGCCGCCTATTGTAAGCTGAGCGCCAACTTCAAAACAAAAACGTAGTACTGCTATTCATACCTAGCTGAGTAATATGAACTAAGAATAACTTATTTGTATCGTTAATTTAAATTATATACACATTTTTTAGCATATTCACAGCAGCTACATACATATGCGATCCATAATAATCTTAAATAGCTATGTACATCCTATATACCTCTTCTGAGGAGTATATATATATGTACATAAGTAGATGAGAACCCAAATATAATATAATATTGTTATGCATTGCTTTCAAATCATATAAATAAATATACATGTACATATGTAAATGTGTTTATGCAAAGTATCATTCTGTTTCGGAAACTTGTTCAGTAAACTACCTGAATCTTAGTTAAGATGCAAATTAGAGATTTACGCACATATGTTTGTATATGTTTGCAGAAAAACAAACTGCAAGCCCTGTAGGGATAATTTTGTTGCAGAACACATACATGCGTACGCTTCATTTCAGACTAAAAAAAAATCGAATATTGTTTTCTTTTATATATTTATATATGTATATTTTTTACATAATAATATAACGTAAGTTTCGCTATTTTGCAAGAAAAAATGGCTTACTAAATTGATAATTGATAGGAAAACTATAATTTTAGTGAGAAATTTTGTACTTTGCGTTTTTTGAAATCTAAATTATTGTTGTAATTTAAATTCAAATTACATGATCTAGTTCCTGCTTTTTCATTGTTGTACACTAGTATAGCCACACTTTAAATGTTTTTTTTTATTAATTATTTTTTATATTATCTATAAGTTATGAACTTAATTACACTACAAACGAAATTGAAACTGCTTACAGCATCGATTTCTCAAGGAAATTTTTAATTTCCTGCAGGTATAGCGCAGAATAAATAAATAATACTACTCGTGCGGATTTAACAAATGACGTGACTGGCAAAAAACTCAAAACGCAAAAGTGCAAACATTATAAACTACGAGCGACCGGCTCCTTATACGCTACCTACTTGCCGGTATATACATACATATGGCAGCGTACATATCTATGTACATATGTATATATGAATTTGTAATTTATACAAAAGTACCTACATACATATGTATACACAAGCATGTACGTGAGAAATGAATGTAGGTATATTAATATATGTATATGTATATAAATCAGCAAACAATGCAAAGGACATCAACAAGAATTGAGAAATTGAGAAAATTTTATTTACCTTGTGCAAAATAAAATTATATTATATTTCACACATGGGGAGTGTGGCACAAAGAAAAAGGCATATCAGGAAATTCTGCGGCAAAAATATATTCAACACTCGAATATTAACGAATATTTATATTACAAATAAATATGCTTACTTGAAAATATCCCATACATAATACTTTTATAACCATGTACTTATAAAAAAAAGTAATAATAATTTGCTTAAGCTGTACTTACCCCCGTATAAAGGATCTCTGGATTAATATGTGGATCTGGCATTTGACTGGAGTACTTGACAACGCTGCCATTTAAAGAGGCGACTAGAGATTTACCGGAAGACACCAGCGCATTGCTTCTCAACAAACGTAACATGCTTGGCCGTTACTTTGCTTTTTTTTTTTTTAATTGAAATGATAGCACTCTAGACAAGAGCTTCGTGGCAAATAGTAAAATATTTTTAATTATGTGACACTGCAATTATTTTAAGTGATTATTTGTGCTTTCGCTTTCGTCCACACGAGATAATACGCTTATATTCGCTTCGAATCTTTTTTGGCAACTGCTGGTCGTGTAGCTGTTTCGTACTATATGTTTTATGTTTATTAGGGCTGATTGCGCGCAACGAGGTGGGTAAATGACGGATGATAGGCAAAAATTTATATAAAAGCTAATGGCGACAGCTGTTCGCTGGGCACAGTTGTAGTGGAAGCTTTGCGTTCGATTTTAATTTGTTTTTTGTTGAATGAGAACGCTTTTGCGGACCGTTACTATTTAAAGTTTTTGTTTAAAGCTTTTATGGCAGCGCTTTTACAAATGCTTAGCTGTTTAGTAAGTTGTTAAAATAAACAATAATATATTAAAATTGCTTTAAAAAATACTTTACATTTTTAAATTATTAAATTATAAGCTGCTAAATAATTGTTAAAAATATGTATGTACATATGTACATACATATGTATGTATATTTTCACTCTTCCCAGAACCATCTTTTACAACATTTACCATCTTAAAGTCATACAAGATTTCGATATATTTCAATAGTCTATACCTTAAAAGCATCATGCTGAAAGTTTAAAAAAAATTTCCAATATTTTAATAGTTCTGAACTTCTAAAATGTAGTCGCTCAGTTTAATCAGCTCTAATAGTTTCTCTTTTTTTCTTTATCTAATAAACATACCTTTAAAAATTAAAACAATTGATATAGTAGTTTATTAAGACGCCCAACACTAATGTTGGCAGCAGTAGGGTCACACGTGAGTTAAAAGCTAGTATAAATATTGTAGATATTGTCTATACTTTAATATATATAGATGCATGTACATATGTACGTATGTACTTCCATGCTAGTTACATATATGAATAATTCATAATTCAGAGAGTAATAACAGAAGATTTATAAAGTCTAATACATTTAATTTAGAAACATGTATTTGTATTTAATTATTATTATTTTTAACTATATGCAAATGCCTGTAGACCTGAAGTTGATATGATTATTGATGAGTGTAATATCTCATGCACATATATGTATATACATAAATTTATATTTAATTACAAAATTGTACTTTATATCATAGTTTATCTATAAACAGGGTAATACTTTTAAAGTGTACTTTAATTATCTAATCAGCACAAAACTTCATTACCTCGTTCGTACTGGAACTTTTTCAATATTATACTAGCAATAGCGCTCAGAGCCGTAAGCATTTTTAACGCATAGACAACAAAATATATTGTAAAATAATAATAAATATGTCTTTATAATAAGATGTCTGAAAAGTCACTAGATATACGTCCACTAACACCAGCACTACAGCAGAAGGCGTTAAATGAGTTGAATGAGAAGCCCGAACATCTAGCCGCGGATATCACAGCGCTCCGTGCTTGGTTGCGCAAGCAGCCACATTTGAAGACGCGACAAAGTGATCAATTTATTTTAAACTTTCTGCGTGGCTGCAAATTTAGTTTGGAGAAGGCCAAACGCAAACTGGATCAGTACTATACTCTACGTTCAATGTTGCCAGAATTGAATCAACACAATTTCGTCGATGATCAACGTTTGCGTGCAATCATACGTTTGGGGTAAGCTAATCTCAGGCTTTTGACTACATGATTAAGTAATAAATTAAATTAAAATATTTGCTTACGCACTTTAAGCGTCACGCTTTATTTACCGCTGCCGTTAATGGAAGACGGTCCATGCATAATGCTAATGCGTCCCGGCAAATGCAATCCGCACGAATTCAATCTAACAGATTTATTGCGTGTAAGCTTCCTGTTACAAGATATTAGTCTTATCAGTAATGACAATATGATTATTGCTGGTTTTATGCAAATCGGCGATTTTGAGGATTTCAGCATGGCGCATTTATTACAGTTGAGTCCATCATTAATTAAACGCTTCGGTTTCTACGTCGAGGAGGGTATGCCGATGCGTATTAAAAATTCACATTTCTTTAATACGGGCGTAATATTTGAGAAGATGTTTGCTACAGTCAAGTTAGTGCTGCCAGCAAAGATGGTCGAAAGGGTGAGTTGGTAATATTGAAAACTTTCAAAATACTAGTAGATACAACCCTATCAGCTTTGCCCTCTGGCGTTTTTAACTTACTCGTAGCTTATGTCACATAAAATCTATTAAAATGTTCTAGATGTACTTACCATTCGTTCTTTTGCAGGTTCAAGTGCACAGCACATTCGAGTCCCTTTGCGAAGCTGTGCCCATAAAGTATCTTCCAAAGGATTACGGTGGTGAAAATGGTTGCATTGAGGAAGTTTCTGCAAGAACTGAGCAGTTGATTTTGGATTATCGTGAATATTTGCTGGATGAACAAAATTATGGCGTCGACGAAAAGTTGCGCATAGACGATGTCTCTAATGTGGGAACGTCATTCGGTATTGATGGCTCGTTTAGAAAGCTAAATGTGGATTGAACAAAATATGAAATATAATAATTTTCGAATTAGTATTAATATTATTTTAAACTTAATGTTTTTTAATTAGAAATAAAGTCAAGACAACTTTAGCAAAAATTAACATATTAAGCATAAAGTGAGTCCAGTCACAAGCATCGCCCATATTACCTAACCTAATCTATTAAAGCAGATAACCGGGAACTTTTCTGTGTTTTTTCCATATTTTTTTTACCATTTTACCAGGCCCTAATCCAGTTGGTTGGGCGCGTAATTAGTCCTCAATGTAGGAGGGATTTGAATCTTCATTACATACAAAAACCAATAGTGCACTAAAAATTTGAAAGCTGAAATCCACATATTGTACAAAAGTGACCGCGAACTTGTTTATATTTAATGTACATATAATATGTGGGTAGAATATGCTTATCTGTCAAACATTTGCCAGTAGATAAATGATTGAGGTTTTTTCCATTCTATATTGCATATTCTATATTATCTAGCTACATTTGAGTCAATTATATTTTGCACTGATAACTATCTCAATGTGAGAATATGTGCATATGTATATACTTACAGTAACTCACTTAAATATTATGGAGCTTATTCACCATACAAGTATAGCAATAAAATTTTACACTTTCATTGGCAACCCTTAGTTGAATACATATTTTTAGACTAAGGCTAATGACATTATGAAGCGAAAAGTAAAGTAGTTAAAACAGAAAATAATTTGTAAAAATTTTATAATTTAAAAATCTGACAATGTAGAAGCGTCCAGAAAAGTTAAGCTCGCAAAGGTTTAGGCAATCACTAAAACAGTACCAATAAGGTGGCTACTGATATTAAAAAAATTATAATAATTAAAATACCAGCTTGAAAATAAAAATTAGTATAATCGTTTTTTATATCTCCTTACTTTTATTTTACCATGATAATCTAATTCTAGTTTACTGATTTTATGCTTGCCATCGCAATTAAAATCAAGTCTGCTACTGTTTTTATGCAATGTGATGTTTTTAGAAGAAACTTTCACATCTTCAAAGCTTGCGCGATTCACTATTTTGAGGAAAAACTAAACATTGAACAGAGATTACCAAATAAGTACTTACATATACAGGGTGTTCCACAATTAATGCAAGATTTAAATTTGCCACCATTTATGTAGTAAAGTGTTGACAACCCTAAAAAATAAAAATAAAACACATTGACAACAGACAATTTAAACTTAGTAAAAATGAAAAGGAGCGTTACACGATAGAACAACGACACATTATTCAACAATATTTCAAAAATAATAAAGGCTTGGCGGCTGCAGTTCGGAAATATCATACAAAATATAATAGAACACGGTTTTAACTTCATCAACTGTGAAGAGATTAATTAAATAATTCCGCAAGGCAGAATCCATTTTTTATGGGGTAAATAAAAATCACAGGTACATTGCAACAAGCCCACAAACATGCGTGCTTTAAAAGAGGAGATTTAACGTTGCAGCAATAAAATTCAGTCATATTTATGTAGAATAGTCATGGAAATTTTCGACTAACGAGTGCATATGTGTATGGAAAGCCGTGGAGACCATAACTCATACTTATCAATAACCCTATCTTATGTACTTTATGATTCAATAAAAAAATTACAATTAAAATACTAAAAACTATGTCTTCTATTTAATTTCAAACTTGCGTTAATTTTGGGACACCCTTTACATATGTATGTATATTATCAAATCTACGCATCGAAATTCCTATCGGGCATGCATTTGTGTATCAATGTTTGTAACACCTTATTTTATCTATCACTCAATTAGTGTGATACCAGCAGAATATATTTTATTAATATCGCTCAGTTGCACACTTACTACAGTCGCTGGCAGTTGAGCGCAACTTCAATAAAACTAACTGTTTCAAGTACAAGTGTCAGTTTAAGGGCAACTCAGTGCGGTACAAAAAAAAAGTGATTGTAGTGTAAGTTTGCATTAATAATTATATATTTAAGTTATAGTGAAAAAAATAATTAAAACAAAATTAAAATTGAAAAAAGTTTCAAGTTAACGAAAATATAATTCAGTGTCTGTGTGCTGTACATATATACATATGTACAAATGTACATAAATACAGTTGTACAAAGAAAAAAGTCATTCAGTGCTTAATTATATATTTAATACTTGATTTCAATGAAAACATAAATATTATTCGAAAAGTTAATTAATCAAATATGTATATATACATATACATATACTTACAATTTTAATGTAAAAAGTGAAGAAAAAAATTTGAAACACTTTTACCCTAAGCTTCAACATAGTATTGTGTAATTGTTGAAAACACTAAATTTCTATGACATTTAGCCAATAATTTGCTGGCACACCTATAAAAAATTTGTAGATGAATACTTCGAGAACGCTTTTAAGCTTCCTTGAGCTACATTTGAATATGCATTGATTTTGATAACCGCCACACAACAGCCGACAAATTAATAAAATTCTACAATGTGCGCGCCTAATAAGGTTCACCCTAATTACTTGTATGGATATGCAACTAAAATACTTACTATTACCGAGTATAAATTTAAACATAAAATAAATAGTGCCACCTTTGAAACTGATGATAGACCAAAAATATGTGTGACCAATGGCTTATCGTTGATATATCAAAAGAACGTGCGAGTGCGTGTGGTTCCCATGGCGAATAAATGAAGTGAAAATGCTGAAACTCAATCAATTTAAGTGAAATGGTTGATATAAATAAACTATAACTCATTGCGGTATGCTAAGTGATAGCGGTAGTTGATACGTTCAAGCAAAAAACTGTTCAAAGTTCGGCTAGGCGTGTTACTGCGTGAAAGTACACGGCGTATGAGTAATGCGTTAATATATTATCTTTGTATGTACTTATTGCTGTTAAAAAGGAACCTTGTGCATAAAGTTCCATGCCCTTAACTGTAACTCTAAATTAATAAAAAATATATGAACAATATATATATTGGATTTATGTTTATATATATTGTATTATATGTGTATGTACACATATATATTTTACATATGTTTACATATTTTCATTGCTCGAGCTCATTGCTGTCCACATGTCCATATATGTGCTTATCACTGTTATTATTAATTTTCATTATCATTTTTTGATATCTTCGAGTTGACGCATTTGAACGCAACTGGATGTTACGCTTACATATGTATGTTTATGTATATGTACATACAAGGGTCTATGTACATATGTAAATAAAAATTTAACGATTTTTTTTTAATTTAAAACAAACAATGCAAAAATATATAATATAATATATAACTGGTTCAATGTACAAGTATCTACAATATACAAAAGGTATATACTTATGTAAATATACATATGTATGTATGTGTGCATAGCTAAAATAAGCAGTACATAGCTTTTAAACAACACTTTTAAGGTAAAACAAATATAGCATTCGTTTTTTGTATCTATAATCTATCTAGTAAATATAATATAATTTTAAACACTGATAATGATATTTTTTATCTTGTTCATGTGTAGAAGCATGACACCAGGCAAGATACAAAAATTGCATGCACTAAAAATGTATAACAACAACGTTCACATGGCTTAAAAAACCCAGAACTGCTTGCAGACGAAACAACCAACTTAATTCTAATCTAACCTAAAGTACAAGTGTTCTCATTTTATATAATGATTTTTTACGTTTGTGACAGCTTGAGAACTGCTGATCTACATACTTATATAAAACATCCACAGAAACAAACAATAAAAAGGATTAACTTCGGTTGCCGCTTACCGAAGCTATAATACCCTTTACAAATAAAAAATTGCCATGCAAGAAATTGATTTTGATAGATTACTTTGTATGACAGCTGTATGCGATAGTGATTCGATCTGAACGATTTCATCGGAGCTTGTAGCGTTGCCTGGGGTAATAATATATGACAAATTTTGTGAAGACGCCTTAAAAAATAAAGTAGTTTTACATACAACAACTTTATTTTGATTGGTTAGTTTGTATGACAGCTATATGTTATAGTGGGCCGATATCGGCGATTGCGACAAATAAGCTATCGGCGATTGCGACAAATAAGCAGCTTCTTGGTGAGAAAAAGATCTTTGCAAAATTTTAAATCAATATGTCTAAAACTGAGGGACTAATTCGCATATATATATATACAGACGAACATGCCCGATAGACGGGCATGGCTAAATCGACTTAGCTCGCCGATCAACGTACATATATTTTATAGGGTCTACGACATTTTCTTCTGGGTTTGAAAACTTCTGGCAAACTTAATATAAACTGTGCAGGGTATAACAATATGTAGACAAAGATAGAACAAATTGTAAATTAACTATTCCAATTATTTATATAATAATGAATATTTTAGGTACTAAAAAGGAAAGGCTCAGTTTTCTTCAAGCATATACATTATTTGCATGACATAAGTATACATATTTTAGCGTCAAACTCTTTGCACACATCTTTATTAAATATCACGATTTTACACAGCACTAAATTGCATGTAATTGATTTAAGTTATTCAAATTGAACATTTATGGCAGGCAATCAGTTCATGAGACCTTGAGCTTGCTACAATTTCGTGCGACTTTTAATTGTTTTGAATGTGAAAGATTCTAGAATAATGAGAATTTTGGAAATTTAGTTAAAAAAAAATTTGTATGAAAGCGCTAAGTTTGGAAGTCACTGAATATAAGATAAACAAGTACAAAGATTATGAAGACTGAAACGTCGAAAACCTGGATTTTCGTAGTTCAATGTTAAACAGTTATATGAACCCATTGCACACAATTTTGGGGGCAGAAAATCTATTGTTGAATCAACAAGACGGTAGGCAACCATTATATGCAGTATATATTTTTCGAAGTAAGATTATAAATATAATGTATATAATATTATTTTATCTCGTTAATTTCGTTAACCTCAGGTAGGAGTAAATTATTGATTACATTTTATAAATTGGTTGGTAGACACTCCTCTCTCTCTAAAAAAGGTATGAGCTCTTAATTCTAACGGGAAGGTTCTCCGCCTAACGGTTGTATATTTTTGAAAAGCCTTTCTTAGAGGTGTCTATCGACATATTTTACAGATTACGATGCGAAAAAAAACATTTGTTTATTTTGACCCACCCTAACGTATGTATGTATATACATATGCCTTATTTGGAAAGGCCTTGGTTTTATTGTCTGATTTAGTTGGATATAAATAAGGGGTGTCTTGTCCGATAACAAAGTGGCCCGGTGATACAGCGACAATTCAACAATTTTTAGTCAACGTTACCATTCAGAAATACAACAACATTAACATACATAAGCGCTTAGCGTCTATGTATTATATTCAAGAAGTTTTTGATAAAGAGAAAGTGCTCTTTGCCCTACATATATACATATGTATGTACGTACATATCTACTTGAAGAAGTGCAGTTAATGATTAATAATAGATGAAAAATAAAAAATAAAAAGTATGATAAACGAACTGCAACCAAAAACTGTATAATTAACATAATATGGTATAACGGTAGATTAGAACGTTGTCATTGTAACATGTGCAACAAGCGCTATCTTGAAGAATTTATATGGGTAAACGTAAAAATGTAAGCTTTCAATGGATTAACTGATAAAGAGCATGCGTTAGAAGGCATAACAGTGAAGTGTTAAAAATTAGCAGAATTATAAGTAAATGCTTAACAGCAGTAAAAGTAAGCAGTAAAACAAAGTACATATACATATCGAATTCAATACTAATTGCTAGCACTACTGAAATTGCTAATCTAATCAGATCAGGCAATGAGTCATACAAATCAGTTCGCGGTCGACAAACAGGTGTTCATTAGCGCAATAAAACGATTCATTGTGTACAAAATAATAAATATCAAGATCTTACAAAAAAGTTTATTGCAAATAGCTGGTGGCATAAGCGACAATAACAAGAACGTAAACGAGATAAACAATAGACAAAAGGCATGTAAAGTCAATAAAAATTTACAAATTATTTTTTTTTTTTTCCTATTCCAGTTTATTATCGGTATCATTAAACCATGTCTAATATACGTCCCTTAACACCGGAGTTGGCTAAACGGGCGCAGGAGGAGCTGGGCGAAGTGCACGAACGTATCGATGCCGATATAGAACAACTACGCGAGTGGATACAGAAACAGCCACATCTCACAGCACGCACAGATGATCAGTTTTTGGTAGCATTTCTGCGCGGCTGTAAATATAGCGTGGAGAAGGCGAAGCATAAATTTGACAACTACTATGCAATGCGTGCTGCAGTGCCAGAATTATATAAAGATCGTTTTGTTAGTGACGCGGCTATTGACATTCTACATTCTGGGTGAGTACGAGTAAATACTAAATTTTGCACAGGGAAGCTAAGATATCGGTTCAAAAATATCTAATATAACTTCCGTCCTTCTTCCGAAGTCAATGTCGAACTCCAAGTGTATTTCTAAAAATTTTCTCATAAACAGTTATCAGCTTAAGCTCTTATAAAATCATTTAATTTTCGGATAATTACGAGAGCTAGGCTTTAGTTATACTACAATTTATGTACATAGGTTATAAATTTAACTCAGCGTGTTTTGAATCAAGAAACTACGAAAATAACCGTTGCGAACTGCAATACGTTTTTGGTAGATTTTCGCTTATTATCGTTCTAATATAATAGAAATTATTTGCAAATTGTTTTACGAAATAAAACATTTTATGTCTTTACAGTGTTTACCTACCCCTACCAAAACCCATAGCACCTGATGGCCCACGTATTCATGTCTCGCGTTATGGCGCTTTCGATAGTAGTAAATATTCCTTGGGTAATGTATTGAGGGTGCGCTCAATGCTTGGCGATATACAATTCCGAGAAGATGATAATGCAATGGTTATGGGTTTTTTGGAGGTGATAGACTTTAAAGGTGTCGGTCCTGGACATATTTTCCACTTCAATGCTGTTTTGGTGAAAAAGCTCGCCGTTCTTGGTGACAAAGCATGGCCTTATCGTCCCAAAGGTTTCCATTTTGTCAACGTCAATTCGAGTTGTGAGAAATTTTTGAACCTCGCAAAGAGTTTGATGAGTGATAAGATTAAAAAGCGTGTAAGTGTAGAATTGTTGCAAGTCATCCATATACACATATTGTATATATATTGGTATTTTCTCTTGGATAATTCTTGTTATTTATCCACATTTACAGTTCCACCTGCATTCAAATTTCGAATCCCTCTACAAGCATATACCCAAAGAGTGTCTACCGGCCGAATATGGCGGCAGCAATGGAACACTGGAGGACGGCATCAAAGAGTGGGAGAAGAAATTACTTAGTTATAAGGAATATTTTGAAGAGGAAATCAAATATGGTACGAATGAAAAATTAAGACGTGGCCGTCCAATTAATTCCGAATCACTTTTCGGTATAGACGGCTCATTTAGAAAATTAGATATTGACTAGTGTTTATGTGTTGTTTATCTTATAATTTAATAAAATGAGATTTTTACTTGTCATTATTGTATATACTTGTTATACTCGTATGTACAATTAAGATAATTCTACAAGTTTGTGAAATTCGCAATATTAGCTGAAGAGTATATGGAATGTACAAAACAAAAAATAATAAAATATTTAAATGTCAATTTTTAAAACGAATGAGAATTACTATAAAAAGAAGCAAAAGAACTACGTCGGGTCTATATAACTCGAACGGACCTGAGCTTGTAACTTGAAAGTTTCAAAAAAGACCAAAAAACAATCACAACAACAACTGGTGTGGCATAAACTATTTCAAACTTAGTTTTACAAGTAAATCCTAGTTATATGCTTAAAAAAATACAGCTGGATTGGATAAATCGTTGCCTAGGTAATACATAGATACATTTTATTCAACCAGACTACTAGTCTACTACTAAAGACTACAAGGCATTCAACAAATATTTGTTTTTAACATTAATGAACACAAAATGCTTGAAACAAAAATTACTACAAATTGTATGAAAAAACATTTAATACCTAACATCACGAATCTTATTTGGACGGTTTTTTGGCAGACTTTTTATATATGAATTCATGTGCGGCATCGTAGTGTGGACTTGCTTGCTCTCGAACACGTTGCATCCACTCGGCGATTTTTGGAAATTTCTTACCAACATTATAGTGTGCTAGTTCTACAACAAAAAAAGTATATTTTATTATTTTTTTTTTTAATATATGTATTTATATGAAATTCTTTACTCACTTGTTTGTTCCACTTCACAAGCACCAAATAAATCGGCCACAGTCATTTCATTGGCCACCAAAAATTTTGTATCCTTCAACCAAATCTCCTCTAAAATTTTTAATTGTGCCTCCATTTTTCTACTTAAGATAGCCGCTTTTTCAGCGCTAGGTTTCGGTTTTATACCGTTAATGGGAAGTAACCACATATCAAGAAAATATGTTGCACAACCCAAACGCACACCGAAATGCTGCCATTCGAGAAATTCATCAACGCGTGCACGCTGTTCTAATGCTTTCGGATAGAGTAACTCACTGAACTGACCCTTATCGGCGAGGTATCTAAAACAACAATAATAACATTTTCCCACCTTTGTTGCTAACAACTCACCTAACCATCGCTACACTCTCACCTAGATGAAAGTCGCCATCTACGAGTGCCGGCACTTTTTGAAAGCGATTTATTTGTTGGTACTCCGGTTTCAATTATTCGGCTGTAAGCGTTAATTAAAATAGTTGTAGTATGTTTACAGTTCTTGCCGAATGCACCATATATACTTACACTTCCTCAATGCAACAGGACAGTCTTCATATGGTATCTTACTCAACCGCAATGCAATCCACAAGGCGCGTGAGGGCTGCGACATTAAATCGTAGTAATATTTGAGCTTCGTCATTGTAGTATTTTGTTAAATAATTTATTTTCCTAATTGTGAATATATACACCTCCGCATAGTTGAGTCTAAAGTTCGTTTCAAAGCTTTTTAATGCATTCTCTTTCTATGTCACGCACTATCAATTATATATTGTGCTGTTTTGTTTTATCGCGTTTGCTTTGCGATAATAATTTGTTATTTACTTTGCGCTTGTGTTACGAATTAGTGCATAACTAAATCAAGTAAAAATTGTGTATAGAAAGCTTTTTCTAACTAAAAGCTTAGTGGATGGGAATAGTTTTATTACGAAACGTGCTGCCTGATCGGTAAGATAGGTTTCCAAACTCACTATTAATTTTGAAATAATTTTCATTTTTAAGGGCATACCTAAAGTGAAATTAAAAATAAATCAATTTGTTTCATATTTCGATTGTTTATACCTTCAAAAGTAACATACTCAAATTTTAAATCGATGTCTCAAAAAGTTTTTGTGCTGTAGCCTTCTAAAGTGTAGAAACTCAGTTTAATCAGCATTAAAGGTTTATCTTTAAATGGGCTTTTTTTAAAACTACTCCTTTCAAATGTGCTTGAGTGCTTACTCAGGGATAAAGGATCCCATCAAATTTTTCTTGCATATTCTGTATATACATAGCTCTCCAAACCATGACCTACCAGTATTTTACTCTCATCAGAAATCGAATTTGGCAGGTCGAAAACTATCGAAATTCAAATTCTTTTTTAAAACGTTGCCATTTTGTCAATTTTGAATATTTTGTTATTGTTCGACCGTGGAGCATTGCAGATACAATCTCTTCTAGTAGAGAATTTTTTTTATAGGTTTCATTCAGAAATCTATCATTTGAAATCACTGTAGTAGTGCAGGATTGTTTCTTTAGCGCCATCGAAGATCGCATGTAACTCGAAAAATATATAATTTTTTTTTTTTAATTTGCTGTGTATTCTTAAAATATCTATAAATATAGCATTAAAATTTTAAAACAATTGAATTGGAGCAGTTTTTTTTTATTCCCGAAAATCGCCGTTTAATAACTTTGCAAAATAAAATTACTTACTTGCAACCCAATTGCATTGGAACACACTTCTTAAAGTAAAAACTCATTGTTTTCAAATTGTAATATATTTTCCATTTTTTTCTTTTATTACTTATGTAAGGTATTTATAGTGATTGAATGACAATTTTTATGAACTTAATAAATTCCATATATTGAAGGAAGATTTCTGAAAATAAATAATGTAAATTTGTAATTAAAAAGATGGCAGGGTAATGAGAGGATGTGTTGATATTTAAAATTAAATAATTTTGAAAAAAATATAAAATTTAAAAAAAGGTTATATATGAAAAATAATGAACATAACATAACTTAAAAGTATGCTTTTATATATATTTAAGCAAAAATTAAGATAACGTGTGCACAAAAATTATAAATTAAATAAAATAAAATGTTTTAAATACTAAAATTAAGTAATTTGACAAATGATGTGTGCGAAATATGGCGGAAGAGCGCTAAATAGTACGGGATTTCCTGAACCATAAGTGAATTTACGTGATAAATAATATATTTTCGATTTTGTACCATAATATGTATGTGTTGCTATGAGATTTACTGTTCCAAGTGCGATTTATATTAAACTCTTTTTTTCGTATTATTATTCAAAGTCTACAAAATTGCTATTCGAAACTTTTTTAAAGTTTCAATTGCCGCTGATTCTGATATAATTTTGTATATACTTTCCGACAACATAAAATATTCACAGTCTAATCTAAGTCTCGGTTTTATATTTTTATAGCACTGTTAAATCCTTTAAAAAAAAGATTAGATCGCGGGGAGATTGTACGTAATTTATTTAAAGCAATTCACAACATTTTGTTACCTAGCAAAGCAATTCATGCTTATCGATTGAGAGATTGAGATTAAATGTCTCACTTGAATACTGTATAGGTGTTTGCTTGATTGGAGAACGCGATTAATGAACTAAAATTTAACGTAATTAGTTTCAACGACAATTGATCTAAAGGCGTTAAAATATGTTTATGTTTTATTATGTTTGTATGTACAGTTTGTAGATAGAGATTAAAACAAAAGAGCTACATTATTGCCAGAAGCTATTAGAATTATGACAAGATGTGAGTCATAGTATGAGGAGTAAAAAAATATCTTAAAATTCAAATATGGTTCAGGCTCATAAACCGTACTAAAATTGCAATTATGAGTACATTACTTAATGAAATTAAATATTAATATACATATTATGTAAGTATATTTATAATGTCATATTTTGTTAATATGAAAATATATGCAATATAAAATATATATTATTAAAAATTATTAGTGATTATATTGTTTTAGCTCAAAGATTATAAATATTGTAAGACTTTAATATTATACTAAAATCAAGAAATATTGTTAAATACATCGAAAGCGTTCATAAAAATTCTTTTGAACAAATATAAAATATTTGATAGCCGCAAAGAAGTCACAAATAAATTTTAATAAAACACATTTTTAAATACACCAAAAGCGTTAAAGTATTTTGTACTTATTGATTTTCATTTGGCTCGTAAATTGGAAAAATAAGTAAAATTTTAATTTTCGTTTACGAAATATCAATAAATCACATATGCATACATAAATGCTATGAACATCAAATGAGTTTGTTTATATAAACGAAATGAAAAACCAAATTAGTCCAACAAAAAAAATAAACAAACACGGACAGTTGTACTTAAGTTTCAAAGAGAAAATAATTTAGAGCTTACTGAAAAATCTCATCGGTTTTGTATGTTATATATATAGGCAATATTTCGAACACGTTTAACAATTAAATGCCTAGTGGTTTAAGACAATATGCACACAAAAAATGGAATTCGCGTATTTGAATACAATTAATATTTAAACTGTTAATTAGTTTTTAGTTTTACTTAAAATGGTAATGATAAACACACCACAATATGTATATAATAACTATATATCTAAAATGAGTGATTTACAATGTACACTTTAACATTTTTTTTGTTGTTTTTTGTGTGTATCATATGTATGTGTATGTTATCTCTATTTGTAGTAAATAGTTTCGTTTTGTTGGATTTTTTTAAATTTCTCTCGTTATTTACTCTTTCCAAAAACATACACCATATACATATATAGCTTTGCGTTTAAATATATACATCCATGAAAAATCTTTCCCAAAAATAACTTTGTTTAATATAAATGAAGCCTTTAAAAATGAGTTTATATTTTTATATATGCAGTATATAATATATAGCTTCTCTGTATGTATTATGTATATATAGTATACATATTTTAGCATGTATACTACAGCTTTTATGTGAATACGACGCCAGTATTTAAGTAAATAGTAGCGATAGTTGCATTTGTTCCGCTGCTTTTAGCTCTATATACTGTTACTTTCACCATTTTTTACTGTTTACTTATCGCTCGCGTTGGCTGTTCTATTATGTTGTTTGTTTCCTTCGTGTATGAAAACTTAGTTATAAATATAACACGTCGCTAAATAAATTGCATGTTCTCGTTTAAAACATTTTTTTTTTTACTATTTACGCAGTAAATTATTTACGAACTGTTGCTTTTTAGTTATTTCAATTTTAGTTTATACATTTTTCTTTTATTTTGCACTTTTTAACTAACGCACAAAAAACGCAAAATGCTTCAAAGTTGTTAACGTTGCTGTTCATCCAGTATTAATTATTTTGTTTTTGATAATTTCTAATTATGTTTTACATTTATACTTTAGAATTTATTATTTTGTTATTTTTTAATGTACTTTTCTTGTATTAGTTAATTTATTTCGTTCATTTGCTTCAATTTAATCAATATTTAATTTACGAAAAGACTCTTCAGGTACACTCACACATTTAGGCGATGGCGGCGAGACTGGTGTGGGCGGCGTCTTATTAGCAGCCGGACCAACTGTTGGCTCAATTTGTCGCAATGTCTCATCGACACCATACTTTTCATCCTCATCGAAATAATCGCTAAAATCGTTGAGCTGTTGTTCGAAATTTACCATGGCTTCTTCGTAGGTGCCATTATTACCACCATATTCGACGGGCAGATACTCCTTGCCAATTGCCTTATGCAGTGACTCCAGCGTAGAGTGTATGTGGAGCTGTGCAAATGATATACGAACAATAAGTATTAGAAATTGAACCGAAATAGCCGCCAGTACCAATGTGTACACCCGACTAATGGAAAAGAAAATCTGCTATAAATTAACGGATTAATCTAGTTTTTTGTCTGTGGTCTGTGCATATTCTCACGAAATTTAAAAGTACTTAAGTTGAAACTAATCTGCATTTTATCTCATCATTTAAAAATAAAGTTTAAGTTCAATCTCAAAAGCTTGCGTGTGTCAAAAAAGTGATAATATATTAAACATGCTGTTCTGGTAGACGTATGCTTTATAGCTTAAGTTTATGTGTCATTAAATATTTCAAACTTCTACTTATTAGTATGTGTTTTAACTCACCAATTCTCTTTGTTTCATAACTAGACGCACCAAATTCAATATGATTTGGGCATCCATGGAAGCATTTACGATGTGTGTGCCCACCAGATTGGTGGGAACGCCATATTCTAAGAATGCGGCCATCTTTTTAAATAAATTCGCTTCGAATTGACGCAACAATGCATAAGGGATTTTTGAAAAATCGATTATTTCAAGCACACCACTAATAATCCAATTATCATCGGTGTTGGCCTCAATTTCAGAACGAAACATTATGAAACGGAAGATATCTTTGGCCGTATAGAGGGAAGTATCAATGTGACCCATACGTGTGAAATGTATGCGTGGACCGCCTGGACCCACGGGTTTGGGTAGCGTGGCAAATATGCTATGGAATAAATGAAAACACGGAAAATCAATTAATAATACACACATATATTCAATAAATTCGCTATAAATAATAAACTAACCCCGCACGACAAATGCCAAATACTTTATCGTCAATGCGTCGAGACTTAAGTAAATCGCCAGCTGTTGTTTTGTATGTGTAATAGTAGTCGATACGTTTCTTTGCGTCATCCATATTGTATTTGCAGAAACGCAGGAAGCCCACAAGGAATTGATCATCGGTACGCGCCGTCAAATATGGCTGTTCGTCAATCCACTGACGCAGCTCTATAGTTTTGCTGGCAATATCTGATTCTAGTTCATTGAGTTCGGTGCGCGCGACCGCAGCCAGCTCGGGTGCCAGTGGGCGAATTTGTGACATTATATGTATGGAGAATTTGTTCTCGTGCCGGAAATGATATTAAGTACACAATTTAGCTGGGCCAAAAGAATTTTTCAAATGTTTTTGCTTTCGCTTTTCTTTGACGGTGATTTAAAATATTATTTAGCTGCAAGTAGACATTTTAGAATATATTTAGAATTTTGAATAAATAAAAATGAAAAACTTTTTCATTTTGGCTTTTGCTCTTGTTTTTGTTTATTCATACTACATTTTCACAAATGATTTTTTTTTTACAGATTTTCAGACAAATGACACAGGTGTATAATAATTGTAAATTAACACCCGTTATGTGGAGTTATCGGCGGCTTATTGTACGCCTCAAACACATTCATGCACTTCACTTATTTCAAAGAAATTTATTGCAATTACTTTAAAAAAAGTTATCTCTCTTTTAAATCTTGCCTGTGTTTTTTTTTTCTTAAGGATTAACTGTGGTTTTTTCTTCCTGTTCTTTGTTTATTTGTAAATAATGCCAACATTATTCTCGAAACGTAACTTTAAACTGACTGCAAAACGCAGTCGCAAAATGCGCTAATAAAATGTACCGTACACTCGTCACCACCCTTTTTCTGATTAGAAATTAATACACTCCAGCCGATTCTCCATTGCCAGTAAAAGTTGGATTTTTTTACAGCATTTAATGTCGATTAATGATTTGTTGTAGATATATTTTTCTACTGATAAGATATGTAATACATGTAGTCTGCATATGCATACGAACACAAATTTACGGCTTTATAATGAATGCATATGTATGTATGTATTCTCTTAAGGCTTTTACAATATGGAAATCATTAAATAAATTTATAACGGTTAAACCGATATTGTAGCCACCTACTGAAATAAACATACTTCGGCTGAAACTGGAATCTCTTTAATTTGTTCATTGCCTAGGAAAGTAGCACATTTGCAATTAAGAAATTTTTCATTTTGGCATGCGTCTTGATGTCACTTGAAAAATTAAGGCTGCCTCCGAATGGCCTATATCTATAATGTTAAGAGAACAGCGTTTAAGATTAACAAATGAGTTTATTACAGATCTAATGTAACTCAAAGGACATTAACGGTTAAGTTTAGCGTTTGATACACTTTTATGCCAATCCAGTGCTTTTTTTCTGCAAGAAGCTGCTCTTTCGTCGGTACCGCCTACTTATATGAACTGCCATAACATAAAGCTGTCATACAAACTTACTGATCAAAATCAAGTTCACGTAAGAAAGCTTTTTTTTTTTATTTGTTAAGGGTATTCTGCAACCGAAGTAAACGTTTTTTTTTTGTTCCGAGGGTAATTTAAGGCATAGACCCCCTTTCCCCCCCAGAACTAGAAAAACAGTAGGTTGCTCTGCAAACCACGCAAGCAAAGCTTAGAAATAAAAAACATCGCAGCTCTTAAAATTCCGTTGATAACATTAACTCCAATTACAAGGTGGCTCCGGAAACATCATTGAACTGATTTTCTCAGTATATGACAAAATGTAATTAAGGCTTTGCCAAGCTTAATACATTATATGTATATCCGTTCTCGGAAACAACAAAAACAAACACCAAATATATATACTATATAATATCGTTTTTAGATATTGAATCAACGCAAATTGCGTGGAATTGTGTGGAAACACTTTTTTTTTACAATTTTACCACAATTAAAAAACGTTAACATATCTATTTAAATGAGAATTATTGTTATTATAAATCGATATAATCTTTTTTCGTTTAACAACGCAATGAAACGCTTGACTAACGCATAAAACAGTCAGTAGCATTTAAATCTCTACAGTGGACAGTCCGAACGGGACTTGATTTGCACACACATATACGCGTTGAAAAAACTCGAAAAAAAAAACATCAATATAAAATAATTTCAAATAATATGGCAGACATACGTCCTTTAAGCGCTGAATTGCAGAAAATCGCCATTGAGGAGCTGAACGAGGTGCCCGAACGTGTGCCACAGGATATAGCGACTTTACGCGAATGGATCGAAAAGCAGTCGCATTTGCGCGCACGCACTGACGATCAATTTTTGGTCAGTTTTTTGCGCGGCTGCAAGTACAGTTTGGAGAAGGCCAAGTCAAAAATAGATTACTTCTACACAATACGCACAATGTTGCCACATATTTTCATAAATAATACGTTGGCAGATCCAAAGAATTTACTTATCGCACGATCAGGGTGATATTCACATATTTTTAGTTAATTTTTTCGTTTTTATTTGTGAATTGGTTTTTCTTTCAGCGGCATTGTTGCATTGCCAAAAACATTAGGCGTCGGTGGTCCAGTTATTGGCTTCTCCCGCTATAAAATAATAGATGATTTACCAATTACCGTTAAGGATTACTGTCGATACATCGCTATGGTAACGGACAGAACTATAGTCGGCACCGATGCTTATGTTATAGGCGGTTACATGGAAATTGTTGATGTCGACAAAGTCGGCATTAGTGCAATGTCAAAATTCGATCCGGTCACAGGCAAACAATTCAGCACATATTGCATGAAGGGCTCTGCTATACGCATTAAGGGTATACATATAATAAATGCACCCAAAGAGGCCTACACCGCACTCAATATTATACGCAATCTCTTTCCGCCCAATATAAAAGAGAGGGTATGTCATTGAAGACTAGTCTAAACCAGTCTAATATTATACGTTTTTCATTTACCACAACATTTTTTGAAATTTCAGTACTTCATTCACCGCAACATGGCGGAGTTGTATAAATATGTGCCCAAGCAGTATTTACCAATAGAATATGGCGGCTCGAATGGTTCATTAACCGATTTAACAAAAAAACTTGTAGACGATTTGCAGGATTTTAATTACTATTTTAAAGAGAATGATAAATATGGCGTTGACGAAAAGTTAAGGCAAGGTCAAAGAATGGATATGAACTCCATATTCGGTTTAGAGGGTACATTCCGAAAGCTTGATATTGATTAGATGGAAAAGCATGTAAAACTATTATTTCTGTATTGTCTATTTGCAAAATGTTTTAGCTTTTTTTCGAAAAATAAAATAATAAATAGCAGTTAACGAATGTAGTAAAGTTTTTTTATTGATCGTAGAATACTATTATGGATAATCCGAAATAAGTATGCAGCATTTATGTTAGCAAGTATAGAACAGCAATAATAGTTACTTAAAACTCTGTTTGTGGTGTAAACGAAATTTTAGCAAGTGTTTTTATAATCAATAGCAAAAAAGAATACGGCAGAAAGAACTACTTAGCCCTGTCTATGTATGTATATACATATATACATTAGTCTATGAAAGAACCAGAATTAATGCGGCAACTCGGCCTACACATTTTGCATGTTCGGCTAATGTGACGTCACAAGAACCGGTTAGATTGAAAAATTCACTCGATAAGAAAATAATTTCTACTACTACTTGTAAACACATTCGTACATTCGTAAAATCGTTAATCTATTGCCTGAAGTTCGCGGTAGGTTGTTAGAAAAATATATTTACGCTTGAGTTGGGCAGTTTGAGGTGATTTTCAGAAAAAAATACAATTTATATATAATTATATATTTAAATAAAAATTATTATACTAAATTGAGCAATTGTTGATGTTATCTGCTAGAATCGCCTATCTAATCTTTGATCTAGCGCAAAAGCACCTCGCTCAACCAAAGCTTTGTTAATTGAATTGAAAAAGGAAAAGTGAATCATTGCGTGTCTAGTTTTTTTTTCTTATGATGAAAGTAATTATTTATTTAAGTTTATTTAAAATTTCTTCTTGGCTTGTTTATATTTGTGCTCTGCAATTATACTTTTTTAATCGATTTTTTGTGCATGTGTGTATGTTTTATTTAAATGAAAGCAATGAAATGAAATAAATACTTTATAGCTTTATTTGTTTCATTTGCTTTATAAGTGCAGCTGCCATTTTAAGCTAACCGCTAACGCTAAAAAGGCAAGCGTACAGAAATGTTTGTACACATGAAATACGGCACAGCAAGCATGGGCGGATGTGTTGTCATAGGTCATTATGGAAGCCACCGTTAGACACTCAATTTGTGCTCGAAAATATAAAATTTAAATATTATTAAACAAGAAAAAATGTTAACTTCGCCTGCAACGAAGCTATTATATCCTTCACAGGTGCATTTCTTATAGCACAAAAGGGTATTTGTTAATATATTTTTATTTTATTTTGCTATTGATAGATCAGTTTGAATGACAGCTATATGCTATAGTTGGCCTATGTGAACGATGTATTCGTTGTTTTAAACAATGATTCATGTCAAATATCGTGCAGATATCTTGTCAAATAAAAAAGTTTTCCATACAAGCACTTGATTTTGATCGATCAGTTTGTATGGCAGCTATTGCTATGTATTGTGGTGCGATATCGGCGTTTCCAACAATGAGCAGCGTCTTGGAGAAAAGAGACCGTGTACAAAAAAAAAATAAAATTAAATTAAAAAAAAAATGGAAAAAAATAGAAAAAATATAGAAAGAAAATAGCAAAAATATTGAAAGATGCGCAACATTTTTGAGCACATTAACAATGCTTGAATAAATAAACAAAAAATAGTTTTAACCACAAATATGCATGTACTATATATACGTAGATAAGTATGTATGCAAACTAACTGTCACACTACTTTAAAACAGGGGTAGTTAATTTTTTTTTTTGCTAGTATATATATACATTTACATGCAAATGGGCAATATTATGAACGCAGACAACCGGTTAGTTACGTATTTGCAGTTAGTATACGAGGACAGCCTAAAAAGTACGTGGCCCAACCCAAGTCAACATGGAAGCCAACTTGGATTACACTTTCGAGTAGTATGCTCGTATAAAGTATGCGCTATAGCAGAAAAAAATTCCACAACTCAGAGTTAAATGCAAAATGGCCTGCTACAATTGGTCACAAATAAAAAAAAAAAGTTTTATTGAAATTGTTAAAAACATTGGCATAAGATTGGATTTCTTTTCATGCGGCGTAATATGCAGCAGATTTTAATTCCGAAAGTTATTTTCTCTTGCTAAATTCAAAAAGTGGTTAGGAGACTTTTACAAAGCCACTGAATATTGTTGGACATTTTTTTAAAAAATTACACAATTTTTGTAAATAGTATAAATTAAATCTTTAACGCTTTTATATTCAGTTCGAGTACTACATGGTTCACCCTCGTATGTAAGCATTCCGCTTTGAGCGTTATGTTTTTGTGAAACCACAACGCAACAATTAAACTACATTTATTGTGATTTCTGTTTAGTTTTATGACACTGAAAACCAAAAGTAAAGCATGCGAAACAGTAGCAATAAAAGTCAGAAGAGTGAAATACTAAAAAATCAACGCTTCAATGAAAGTGTTACAATTATGAATGACTAGCCGCAATGCACGAGAGATTATCTGTTGTTTTTTTTTTAGAGAAAATTTCAATTTCAGCACGTGAACGCTTCAAATTATAATTTTTTTTTATTTCTAGTGTACTTAAAAATATCAGACCCAAGAGTTTAACAAATGCTATTTTTACATTGCATGTGCATGTTTGTAAGTATGTGAGCACATAAGTTTCATATTTCATATGCACTTCTTCGAGCGCTTTATGCGCATGCGTGCACATAAAAACCCTACTAACGGCATCTTCAAATGGTCAAAAACTTGCAATTTGCAGCATAGTCAACACTTAAAGGCGGCGTACGCACAAATGTATACAGTGATACAGTGAGTGAGCGCTTAGACACGAACAGTGCAGCAAACCGAAAATAAAAAAGCGGAAGATTTCTTCACAACCGTCGCATTAAATAAATAGCGGCTCACCAGTGTCGAACGATTTCAGTTGCTTCGCAGACAGCACATCACACATTAGCCGCCCAGCAGCCACAACATATTAACAGCAAATCCACACACCTGAATATAGCCAATAAATAGCAGCATGGTGATTTTACGCCCACTACCCGACGATTTGGCAAAGACAGCCACCGAAGAGTTGAATGAGAAGCCCGATGACAATGACTACTTTGTGAATACCTTGCGTGAATGGGCTGAAAAGCAGCCACATTTGCGCGCGCGCACCGACGATCAATTCCTGATGGCCTTTCTGCGCGGTTCCAAGTTCAGCCTGGAGAAGGCAAAACAGAAATTGGAAAACTTCTATATACTACGCGCTGCCATGCCGGAAATTTTTCGCAATCGGAATTTGAGTGAGCCAAAATATGAGGCGATCGTTAAAGCGGGGTAAGCTCCCAAAAAAAAAACTTTGTCATTAGTCAAACATTTAATAAATTGAAAATACAAGTAAATTTTGAAAATTTCTCACAGCGCTGCATCTTTTTTGCCTGAACCCGTTTGTGAGGGTGGCCCGTTGGTGGTGCTGCTGCGACCCAGCGAATTCAATATGGATCTACATACGATCAATGATGTGCTGAAAGTCGGCTCAATGATCATTGATATACTAATGCAGGAGAATGATCGCGTCTTCATCGCTGGCTACACGTTCATCATTGATCTGGGTAATATTTCAAAGGCTGTGCTCATGAATTTCGAACCGGAATTCGTGCGCAAATTGACCATACTCGTCAATAAAGCGGCGCCCACACGCATGAAGGGCTTCCATTTCATCAACGTGCTGCCGATTTTCGAAAAATTATTCGGTATGGTGAAGAGTGTGATAAGTGCGAAGTTGAAAGATAGGGTGAGTTTAAATATTTTTATTTACTTACTATGCATACAGTTATAGCACATTTAAAGAATAATTGAACATTATATTATACTAAAAAATTTTGGTTTTTGATATTAAAATTTGAATTTTATAATGAAAAATTCATGAAACGTCGAAAAAATTTTCGCTTAAAAGAATACTAATTTTTATAATATATTACTTTCATATTTCTCCACGCAGTTCTATGTGCACGGTACCAATTTCGAGGATCTCTACAAACACGTGCCCAAACATGTGCTACCCAAGGAATATGGTGGTGATTGTGATCTGAGGAGCCTGGCTGATGAATGGTGGCAAAAATTGAATGAATACAAAAAATTCTTTGAGGATGAGGAACAATATGGCGTGACTGAAGGTTATGAAAAATTAAAGCAAGTGAAACAACTGATCGAAGATACCAGCGTTTTGCAAGGCACCGAAGGTTCTTTCCGCCAATTGGAAGTCGATTAAAGACTGTACGGCACACTATACTTGTATGCAGTGCATGACGGTCAACCAAAGCAATTAGCATAATACTTTATTTTTTCATAATTTTACTTATTTAAAACTATTTGAATGAATGTTAGCAATAAAAAATACTATATAAATATATATGATGTTTACATATTTTACAGTTAGCAATAAAATATATGTATATGAAAATATTAAAAGCAACAAAATTGCGGTAATATATTTTTTTGTTCACGTATTTCACATAATGCATAACAAGTACTAGCGCGTATCGGCTGTAATTAACCACCTCACAGCATTTGCAATTTTGTAATTTGATGTCGAAGTTGGTGGTCACACGGATACATCATTATATTGTAAAATTAACGCACAAAAACTGAATGCCAGCCACAAAGTTTTTTGTTTTTCTTTCTAGAGTTGTAAGTTTAAAGTTAAACGCCCATACATATGTATATACATAAATAGATACTACATGTACATAAAGAAAAACAGTAGTATATGCGCTCGAACGCAGTTTAGAGCTTGATCATTTTTTTAAGCTCAGCGCCAAGAAGCCTAGTTTCGATTAAGAAATTATAACGTAATCAGTAATGAGATTTTTTTCTTGGTTGTATTAGAATGAAATATGAAATACATATGCATATACTTAAGTATTATTTTCTGTCTTAATTAGTAAAATATTATACCCTGAACAGGAAAACGTATATATATAACAGATCAGTGTAACGATGTGAGTCAATTAAGCATGCTGCACGTCTGTCTGTCTGTATATACGCGAACTAATTATCAGTTTTTGAAATTTAGATCTGAAATTTTGCGCATGCCCGCTTTTTCTCCACAAGAAGCTGCGCATTTGTCGAAATCGTCAATATCGGACCACTATAGCATATAGCTGCCACACAAACTGATCGATCAAAATCAAGCCTTTTTATGGAATTTTTTTTTTACTTGACAAGATATCTTCACGAAAATTGCATAGATTATTGTCCAAGGCAACATATCCGCACAAATTGTTTATCGGGCCACTATAGCATATAGCTGCCATACAAACTGATCGATAAAAATCAAGATCAAGATCTTTTTATAACGAAGTTGTTGACGTACTAGCTGTAAATGATAGCTAAATGCTATGCCTGGACAGGGAGCATGCAGTACGCGTTGTAGATATTGCTTAGGTGGCAATAAGAAATACATACTTGTACTATTATGGTACACAACAAAATAAAATGTGGGTGGCAAATGTTTTTTACACTTGAAATTTATTTCTCAACATGGCATGTAGCATTAGAACACCCATTTTTGTTAATAAAAATACAATATAAATAATTTGCTGCGCTAATACAATAACCTGAAATTGTTTATTTTTATAAATGTATACATAGACACTGATTCAAACGTCATTCAATTTAAGTGTATTAAAAGAAAAAACATTAATATTTGGCAATTTTTAGTAAAACAACTGCCGTGTAAAGAAGTGGTAATGTAGATAAAAACATATGAGTTAAAGAGGAACGAAAAAGAAAATTAGAAATTGTGGTTAAATAAATAATACCATAAAGGATATAACAAGCACATTATTAATCACTGTGCGAAGTATTGCGATGTATGAACTGTGTTCCTATTTTAAGTGGGTATTCTGGTTCTGAAATTTGAAAACAAAAAACGATTATTAACAAAAAAAAAAAAAAAATAAGGCAACTAAGTAATTGCGAATTTCACTCATAGATGGCTTCAGTTGAATTTTTAGGTTTGCTGGCGTAGTCCAAATGTGAAACACATTTTGTTATTTGATAGTTGGCAATTCAGCTGTCAATCAGTAAAAAAAAGTTGATCGGTTACGTAGTTTTCGTTTGGCGTTCGTTGAAAAATGAAAGATCAAAAGGAAAATTTTCGTCATATTTTGCTTTTTTATTTTCGCAAAGGCAAAAACGCATCGCAAGCTCACAAAAAGTTATGTGCTGTTTATGGCGACGAAGCCATAAAAGAACAGCAGGGTCAAAATTGGTTTGCCAAATTTCGTTCTGGTGATTTTTCACTCAAAGATGAAAAACGCTCTGGTCGTCCAGTTGAAGTTGATGACGACCTAATCAAAGCAATAATCGATTTGAATCGTCACAGTACAACACGTGAGATTGCAGAGAAGCTTCAGGTATCACATACATGCATTGAAAATCACTTAAAACAACTTGGCTATGTTCAAAAACTCGATACATGGGTTTCTCACGAACTGAAAGAAACGCATTTAACGCAATGCATTAACAGCTGCGATTCGCTAAAGAAACGTAATGAAAGTTATCCATTTTTAAAACGAATGATAACTGGCAATGAAAAATGGGTTGTTTACAACAATATCGAGCGGAAAAGATCGTGGAGCAGGCCAGGTGAACCAACTCAAACAACATCAAAAGCTGGTATTCATCAAAAGAAGGTTTGGTGGGATTATAAAGGAATTGCCTACTTTGAACTCTTACCACCCAACCGAACGATCAGACCTGTTGTCTACATTGAACACTAACGAAATTAAACAATGCAGTTGAAGAAAAGTGGCCCGAATTGATAAATCGAAACGGTGACAATGCAAGGCCACACACATCTTTGGCCACTCGGCAAAAATTATTGGAGCTTGGTTGGGATGTTTTGCCACATCCACCAGATAGTCCTGACCTTGCACCAGCGGATTACTTTTTATTTCGATCTTTACAAAACTCCTTGAATGGTAAAAATTTCAATAATGATGATGATGTCAAATCGGTGCTGATTCAGTTTTTTGCTAATAAAACCCAGAAGTTTTATGAACGTAGGATTATGATGCTGCCTGAAAGATGACAAAAGCTCATTGATCAAAATGGGCAATACATTACAGAATAAAGTTATTTAGTTCCATGAAAAAATTGTCCTTGATTTCTTTAAAAAATCCGCAATTACTTTGTTGCCAACCCAAAAACTTATAATCTTCAAAATTGCGCCCTTAAACGGAATTTTAAAAATTCATATTTTTTTAGGCGAATATAGCGAGTTTTGTGACGTGGCGTCTAAGCCGGCCGAGCGAATCACATAAAAACGCGTTTTACTCGAAACTACTGTTTTTGAGGTGGTTGACATAATATCTCAAGTTCTACTTAACCGATTCCTTTAAAATTTGATAAAATAAATTTGTATGCATCTTTCTATTGCGCCTTTTCAATTATATTTTTTTTTAATATTATTTAAATGCCAATAAATTTCTTATAAAAAATGGATAGTCAAAATGCTTTCAATTTTTTCTTATCTTATTTTTAAAAATGCCTAAAATTTAGGCGTCTAGACCAGAATACACCCTTCAATGCAATTTTAAGTATTTAAAAATATTACGATGTATAAAAAACAAAGAATTTTTTGGCTACCATAACCTAAGCCTGGTGAGGTGCAATGAAGAAGTTTGAGGTGAGTTAATTACTATGGCGAGTCTGACGTTTTATATTCCAAACTAACTCTGATTCATAGTTTCCCCATATGTCCACAATCACTCTGAAAGACCTACAACTGTGGTTTCTCTCATTAAAAATCCTATCATATATTGATAAAATAGCTCAACTGAAAGTTAAATGCATCACAAAACTATTATTGTGATGTTTAACAAAAGAAAACATAAAAACATCTGTCAAATAGATAAATTTATAAGTTTTTTTACTTGTTTTATGGGGAGTTCTAGACGTAAATAACGCTTTCATACGTTGAGTACAAGTATTACAATAAACGTAATACCCGAATAAAACATATAACTATAATGTATAACACATCACAATTATATTTATCGAGATTGCTAATGCAAACAAGATATAATGCTTTTAACCAAATTTGACAGACAGACAATTGACACAATGAGCAATAGCAATGGCAGCAGCAACAAAAATGCATGTTTAATAAAACTGAAGCTACGGTTAATAAGAACGGTTATAATTCAGATAAAAAAAAATTACAATGGCTGATAAACAATTTGTATTGTTATACCAAAAACTTTTTTAGTCATTTACATATGTACACACATACATATATATAACTGTGTGTACCTGTATGCATACATATATTAAATATGTATTGATGACATTAGATGGATATTTAAAAATTATGTTGGTGGCGTCAATGCACCTTATCTACGTACATGCTTATATACATCCCTAATAGTGTACAGAACTAACTACAGGGTTGTGTCGAGAATTATGGTAATAATCGCTATAATATTATATAATACCGTATATATTGTCATGCACCATTTTTCAATTAATATGCGAGAACTTTGCTACTGTCGACTAAAAACATGATTTTTCGCAACAGCAGTTGATAACTGAGATTAGGTAATCGAACAAACTTATTGAAACGTCGTTAAACCTGTAAAATATATACAAATGATCAGCGTGACGAGCTGTGTCGATTTAGCCATAGCCGTCTGTCAGTATAAGTATATACGCGAGCTAGTCATTCTTTTCATACTTGTAGTTTTTAAGATATTAAGTTAAAACTTTGCCCACGTCCTTTTCTTCTCAAGAAGCTGGTCATTTGTTGGAACCGCCTATATTGTACCATTATAGCATATAGCTGGACCACCCAAGCATATAAGTATATTCAGTTAACTAACCATCCCTGTTTATATGATATTATGATTTTTTTTTAAAATCATACTAAGTTTTATCAAACGAGACAGATGGACGACTTGACGGCGTCATTTACTCGTATGTATCGAGTAATGTCAGTGTGACACTCTCCGGAACCAACGCAAATGCCTTTAATACGCAAAACAAACCGATGAAAGTGTATTGATGTCTGCACTATTTGGCTTTTAATCAAATTAATTTGGCGAACAGTTGTATCCGAACAATCAAGAGAGTAGCAAGTGGCGCTAAATACCATACATGCCACTAATAAACCTTTCGCTATTAAGGGTGGAGAATAAATATTCAAAATATATTATATTAAATTGTACCAAGTGAACACTATTGGTATTCGTGGCGTTTCTAACAAAAAATGTTTAAATAAATTGAATATTACAAACATATTTTTCACAGAAAATTTGCAGTTAAATAATGTACAAATGTCTTCCGACGAGGATGCAAATATGGTGAGGATAAAGAAAACATTCAAAAACTTGTAAGGAAGCTGGTTTTATCGAAAGAAATGTTTAAGTACCGACAGCACAATATAATAATAAAAATATTGAAAATAAAGTTAAAAAATAATAATAATTTAGTAATTCTAATGCATAAACATTTAATAACAAATTAATAAAGAATAGAATAAATTTTTGCTCAATAATAAATATTGAAACAGTGAACATGGATTTTTTTTCTTTGAAATATCTGGCAAATATTGCAAAAAAATTTTTAATTTTTTATATAATAATACTTTTTTACGAAAAAATTGCTAAAATCTTTTAAACCGAAAAAATTTAATAAAAAACGGTTAAACTACGAGAGCGCGAAAAAAAATCACAAAATTACTGCCGTTAAATTCGAAAAAAAGTTTCGAAATCTTATACTTTTGCAAGCTAAAAGCGTTTTTTCTTTCGCACAAAAATGTTGCCGATGCTCAGGCTGTGAAAGTTGCGTGTTCTTTTCTCTGAATGTTGCCTTTTTGCCTTTGCGAGAAAAAGGTGCAACATTTTCTGCCCTTCTCAAAATATTTAATCAAATTCATCTACTAATTATACTGAATCGATCAGTTTTGTTAAGCTCGCTAATAAATATTGCAAATGATTTGGTTGACATTTTTTGTTGTTCTTTTGTCTTGTGAAAAATGGAACATTCATCTAATGTTGCTATATAATGAGGCAACATTTTTAACAAGAGAACGCTATAAATCTTACTAATCAAATTCAAAAGCAAATATATTTTTTAACTTTCTTCGCTAATTGTAGCTCAACTATAGTCAAATCAATTTTCCCGAAGAACGTATATGGACACATATTCCCGACTGGGAGATAACGCTTAAGGTCTCCACATTTGTGCCGGTAATCATTTTCGGCTTATACGGTAATTTCGTCATACTACAGCTGGTCGTTATGAATCGTGCGCTACGCACGCCAACAAATATGCTTGTGTGCAATATGGCAGTAGCCGATGTGGTGACACTTTTAATATGTCCGGCTATGTTTATGATCAATGATTTCTATCAGAACTATCAACTGGGTTCGATAGGTTGCAAAATGGAAGGTTTCATGGATGTGGCTTTTTTTATAACCGCCGTTTTAAATTTATCGGCTGTCAGTTACGATCGGCTAACAGCTATCGTACTGCCGACGGAAACACGCTTAACAATGTGGGGCGTGAGATTTGTAATTGCCTTCACGTGGTTGGGTGGATTTTTAATAGCTCTGCCGTTAGCTTTATATAGAACGTATAAGGTAAGCATGAAAAGTTTTAATTAAAATAAAATAAAAAAATTATTTGCGACAGCATATGTATGTATTGTATATTGAAAACAACTTTTAAAGGTACGTCTGTGGAAGAACTTCAAAGAGATGTATTGCAAAGAGAACCGGAATATCTTACCCAAATATTGGTATGTTTTAATTACGGTTATGGTATGGCTGCCCCTGAGCATAATGCTAATTTGTTATTCAGCTATTTTCTTCAAGGTAAGCGTTAAGCTCTGTTAAAAAATTATTTCTCAAATTCTACATAACACACACAGCTCGATCGTTACGAAAAGCGTGTACTTAAGCGTGAACATCCACTGAGTGTATCCTATAAGAGGACTGTTGCCAAAACGCTCTTCATAGTGGTGCTCGTTTTCATTGTGCTGCGTTTACCATTCACAATTTTGGTTATTTTACGCGATCAATACATAGCCGCAAATGATAGTTCTATAAATATTAGTTTTCGCATCTTCTGGTATATATCACAATATCTAATGTTTCTGAATGCTAGTGTGAATCCACTGATCTATGGATTTAACAATGACAACTTTAGACGCGCTTACGATCAGACGCCATTATGTAAGTGTTTTAAACGGAACACCAACAAAATACAGTCTAATGTGAGTGTAATACTCAGGCAACACATATTCAAATATCAGGTACTATATTTTATATTTGTATTTGTTGTTAGAAATCTTACTGCTGCAACGGCTGCATGTGCTTTATGAACAAATGGTTTAAACTGATCTGTTGTTGTTTTAGTTTAAGAGCGAAAAAAACTTTCTCTTTCACTGGTGATGAACAGGTTCAGAATACGGAGTTGGCGCGTAATGCAAGGGCGTCGGTAGTGGTTGCGCCAGTGCTGACGAAAGAGACGAATGTGCACGATATACAAATAACATATAATCGCTTCGACAATGAGGGTTATCACAATAATGTTGTAGGCGAGGGTTTTATATGATTAACTATACTTATGTATTGCATTAAAGAAAAAGAAATATGTTGAAAATATTGTAGTAACTCTAATAACTTTCGTTTTTGTTGTTGCAATGCAATTGTTAAAAATAACCACAAAATAAAATATTGCATGCAAAATATACGCAACTTAGTAACTACTATAGTTTATCAATTATGTTATATGTATTCACTAAAAAATAACTGTTTAAGTACTTTATTGTCAACCAAATGTCATAAAGCGTTAATAAATCATATATTCTTCTTGTATGGCAAGAAAAATTAGTGCAGCGTCGTTTTTCGTCCTATTTTATGGTCCAGCAATATATTATGTTCTCAACTGGCTCGCTTAACGGCTTGGGTTACATTTTTCTCTTTTGCAAATATTCCTTGTTTGTATATTTCTTAATATATGTATGCATCGCATCATCATTTAACAGTTACAAAATCGATTGTCTTCGCTATCTGGTTAAGCCGAGCTTTACACATTGATATAGCGTGCATATATACACATACTTATATGTATATAAGGGAATGTATATAAAGCTATAAAATATATTTAGCTAGAAGCAATAGTAATTAGCCGTTCAAGCTAATTTAAACACAAAAAACTATAATAATTTGCAGGGAAAAAATAAAATAATTAAAAAACCTTAAAAAACCTTAAAAGTAAATAAAAATAAATAAGTAAATAAAATGTTTGTTCATATATTTATATTGATTTTTATGAATTGTGTAAGTAATTGCTTGTGTTTTCATGTGAATTTTAATGCATTTTATGGCGCACAACTCGAACCGTTTAATACGCAAATGCAAAAACGTGAAATGGCGCAGTTTTTCGATAAAGGTATGTTAAAATAGAAAAGAAGAGAAATTGGGTATTTAGGCGGAAAACGTAATACAAGCGGCATCTAACTACTATATTTTGAATATATAATACATAAGCTAAAACAACGGTGGTTTGTTCAATGTAAATGATTAATTTAGCATATTTTAGAAGAATGCAATTTAAATATATATTTTTAAAAAATGTTGCATATGACTACATATGGATATTTTTTTTATAAAAAGAAATATTTTTTACGTATATTATAAGTTTTATTGTTTCGAGTTTTAATTTGCTGCATAAAGAAATTTAAGTTTGCTAAAAAATATATGCATATTAAAAATATATGCATAAAACGTCAATTACAAGACGGAAATATCGTTTCCAAATCAAATATTTCGCTTCCACGTTGGCAGTTTTTGTTTTTGCTATCGTTTCTCTTACATTTTAATGGTGTTTTATCTTCCTCTTTGTTTCTTTCATTTAACACACACGCTGCTCTACTCCAAACCGAAGAGCTCTTTTTTCATATAACCCGATTTGTGCGTTTCCAAATATTTTTTAAATAGCGCCATATTCATTACACCTTCCTCATTATCCAGATCATCGCAGAAGAGTTGCTCTTTGAAACCGTCAAAGCGACGTCGCTGCTCCAATTTACCCTGCCACAATTCGCTCTTGCAAATAGTGATATGCTGCCAATGCATGGCTTTGATTATGCGCCAAAACTCCTGTGTGTGCTCACGCAAACCCTCGACGCATATAATGCCCGGCTTGCCAGGACGCGAAAAACCACTTAAATCCATATTACGTGCCACTCTTTGAATTTCTTGACGCTTTTTCTTCGATTTAATGTGATGCGAGTAAATCCATAGGCGTTCACATTCCAATGCGCACTCATTTGCATTCGCCGTCAACTGCGTTTTCACCTCGAATTCACTAGCATCACGCATGATCAGCTCGTTCAGTTCATCTTGCAACCAGGACACCACTTGAAATACATAGCATTCACTCTTATCCATTGCGTTTATGTACTTTTCAATTTCACGTTTTAAATGCTGTTCTTTAGCTTTGCCCAACAGCGTACTAAATATCGTTACAAGCGCATTCTCCAGCAGAGGATAGAGATTGGGCAATTCAATGCGTATATCCACTTTCTCTTTGGACTTGCCATGCAGCACGCTCACGGTAATTATATAATCCAAATGTGCCTTTAACACGATCGTGGGCACAGCACTGGGCGTATTGAGAAAGTCATTGAAGTCGCTGATGACGCTCGCATCGAGAATATGCATTTCGCCGGGCGTACAATAAATCGATGAGAGCAAGTCGACCTCCTCCAATTGCTTCGTAATGCATTGCACATATAGCTCGCGTTCATTCAATTGCTCGAGTTGTAACGTTGGCTGATCGGTGTCCATGTTTTATGTTTATTATTCGCTGTAAGAACAGAAATTTTCAATCAGATCGGTATACAATAAATGGGTACATAAACATTACAAATGTATTATGCCCAAATACATTATATACCGACAGATAAGTAAATATTTCTGTACTTAACTTTGACTTACGATTTACACACATACATATATAGTAATATGTAAGCAGGTAACAGATATGTATAAGTATGTGAGCATCTGATAAGCTTATGTAAGAAGATTTAAGACTTTGATGAGAGACATACATTTATCAACGGTATAAGCAGAATAAAAACAAGAAAAAATGTTAACTTCGGCCGAACACCGAAGCTATAATACCCCTCACAGGTGCATTTCTTATAACATGAAATGATATAAAAAAAAAAATTTATCTTGATTTTGATCGGTCTGTTGGTATGACAGCCATATGCTACAGTGCTCCGATCTGAACAATTTTTGCGGAGAGTATAGCGTTGCCTTGGGCAATAAATCATCCAAAATTCGTGAAGAAGTGTTTATCAAATAAAAAACTTATCCATACAAGAACTTGATTTCGATCGGTTAGTTTGTATGGCTGTTATATACTATAGTGGTCCAATAACGGCGGTTACGACAAATGAGCAGCTTTTTTGGGAGAAAAGGACGTGTGGAAATTTTCAGATCGATATCACAAAAACAGCGGTACTAATTCACGTATATACAGACAGACAGATGACAGACAAAAATCTTCATAGTTAGTTATAAAGAATGTTTATCATCTGATCAAAAAGGAAGTTAGTCAGTACGTGTCAAATTTGATCAGATGACAACTGCTTTTTTAATTGAGTGAAATTCTAAATAGAGTAACCTGTTCTAAAATTCCAATTGTATTATTAACTAACTGTTAAGGCAACATTGATTTTTCAAAACATACACATTGATACATATACCTATACATATATACGTTTGTAGCTGCCTATTCCTTTAATGGGCTCAGTAAAATCGAATCAGTGCCGGTTTCCTTCCCGACTGATATTTGTATACTCTCACTGGAAGGTGTGAAATATGCAGCCTCATTGCATCGAAACAAAAATGGTTTGCGGCATTTAACAGTTTACAAAAATGTGGTATGTATTGTGACAAAATACGTTCCACATCTGATTTATACATTAACATCGATGTTTTGCAGAACAATAATTACAGTGAACTGCACAGCATTGCAATGCCCAATGCTGTTGCCATGGATTGCAAAGCGCTCGGTGCAAAGGGTTATATTGCGTTGGCCTTTAATCTCACACAAACGATAGAAAATGCACGAGACGGCTCCCCGATTTACTTGCTCACCGCCGATGAGCGCTTACGCGCCGTACAATTTTTTGGCACTAAAAATTTGTATTCGATTTATTTGCGCACCACGGCGAATGATTTGTTTATGTTGCAAACATTGCGCAGCAGCGATGATGCACCAAACCCACATTGCCCCTATTACAAATGGTCGGGTACATCGTTTACGCTGCTTGCGCGTATACCGTGTAGCAATGCGCGTCATGTCGAACCATTTGCCATTAACTATGAGAATTATGTGGCTTTGGCGAACTATGCCGATCAAAAGGGACGCACCACAACATATTCGGAAATTTATAAATTCATACGCGAAAAGAAACGCTTTCAGCTCTTCCAGAAGATACGCACCTATGGTGCGGTGGATGTGCGTTACTTTAGTGCACCGTTAGACGAGGTGAAACGCCGCCATTTCTTGGTCTATGGCAATTCGGTGAGCAGAAGTAAGAGCGCTGTACGCGGCGAAGACACCAATGAAGCGGATTCAGTCTTTTACGTCTTCGATAAGGGACAATTTGTGCCGTATCAAAGTTTATCGCTGTATGCGGTGGAGCAATTCCTTCCAGTGCAGGTAGATTGCTTAGTCTGTAAATTTTCGTAATAATTGATTTTAGTTTGAAAAAATAAATTAAGAATGTAGATGCGGAGAAATTTTTACTGCTCGTGGCTTGCAAGGATCAGGATACAAAAATTTACAATCTGAATGATTGGAAATTCGAGCCGTCAAATGTGCAATTTACCGAAGGCGCTTTAGGGCGGGGCGTATCGAAGATGAGAATTCATCAAGAGAACGAAAAAAGTTTTTTGGGTAAGTTTTGCAATTTAGAATAAATTAAAAAGCAGAGGTATTAACACGACGAAATGCGAAGAATTTGCCAAATTTTTTTTATTAAAAGCTAATATTTCAGAAAGTGAAAAAATGCATATTACTTCTTTGTTCTAAATAACGGCTTTAAATAAACTGCTTAAGATCTGTGATTTTCGGCTCATAACTCGTTAAACTCTGCCGCGTCAATAACGAGTTTCCTTCATAACTCTTTTGTTTATTGCTCCATTTCAAAGTTACTAATTTCAAACTGTAAATTTGTGTGTTGAAATCAACATAGTATGTTTGTTAACACAGAAATTACTCGATTTCTAATTTTTTTTTATAAAGATCAACAGAGTAAATCTTAAAAATTGCTTAATTTAATTGCTTATATTAATTGTTTAATGTAATTACAGTCATCGCAAATGAGAAAATGACCGAAAATGATACGAACATTTTTCTACCGATCTTCAAGCAAGATGAACACGCGAATGCTTTACGCCAACAGATTATCGATTGGACTAAAACGCAGACGGAACGTTTGGCGCAAGTCGATGTTAGTAAACTACAAAAGGATGTAGAGGTAAAAGTAGAGAAATGCAATAACAGTTAATCTTTTATAACTCAAATTGGCAACAACAATCACACTATATCACTTAAAGCAAAAATTGTCACAAGGCCAACGCCCGAACATCAACACGCAAGTGCCGATTATTTCTCAAGCCGATATACAAACTGTGAACACTAATACGGTAAGTATCGTGCACAACTGCAAAATATTGACAAAACAATTATGTAAAACCGCTGTTCGCTATCTTAATGACCGCAGTTCGTTTATCCGAAACATCATTTCACAAGCAATTATTGGCAGGCGTTGAATTTCGTCACCCAAGCTGTAAATGGCATAGAGGCTGAGCTCAAATCAGCCACTGAAAAACGTCTTAAACGTGCCACGCCCACAACTGATGCTAACAAAGAATTCGCCAACATTAGAGTCGACACACTTATTGTTAAGCACAAACTGGAGGCACAACAAGTGAACGGTGTTGAGGCAACACGACCCACATTCGAGCGTATCAAAGCTAAAAAAGTGCGTGTAACGAGTAGTTATCAAGCGACGGCACGTACGCTGCAGGAGAACGTTTCCACTTCGACAACAGCAACAGTTGTGGCACCGACATTAGCAGTCAACAATCTGCAAATCAATGGGCTTGTGAATGATTATAAATGGAACGATTTGCTAAATTATACATTGAAGCGTGAGGGTGTGCAGTTTCTTGAACAGTCGGCGCATATAGGTAATTTAGTAGCGGAATCAGTGCGTGTGTTAAGCGATGATATTGATGGTAATAATTTGAATGATCTCATACCAATCGATGGTGGCGTTGGAGCTGTTGACGATCATATATATATGGTTAATCAATCAATACGGTTTGAAGCAACTGTAGTAGCTAAGGAGTTGTTTATACATGAGCGTTTAAATCATATCAATGTGCAACAAAATAAACTTGATGTGCTGCTGAAGAGACAACCAAATGTAACGCAGGTAATGGGGGGTGTGAAGGCTTTTGAAAATGTGCGCATTATGCAGCCGGTCACAATGGCGGTAAGTGAGGCGGTAAGTAGTGCTATATGCTATAAATAAAGCTTAATTACACTGTTAGTTACAATTATTTCATGCTATCACATTAGGGTACGACGTTGGGTGCAAGTTTACAATCCTTGGCCTCACAACAAATCATACACGATGACCTTGTGCTTAATGGAGATTTTACTATAAAGGGTGACGCAATTATATCCAGTATATTAAGCGTCGACGATTTATTAGATCGAAACACCGAAATTAGCACTAAAAAGACATTGGAAAATGGTATCGATATAACGCAAACGCTGGCGAATTTTAATATTAAATTTGAACAACCAGTGGAAGCGAATAATACATTATTAACATTCATCAATACAGTTGACTTGCAGCAACTAATTAAAACGAATTTTAAAAGCCTACAGGTAGTAGAGGGCGAGAAACATTTCAAACAGACACTCGAAATACGCAGAGGTTTCAGTGAAGTGAAAAATTTAAATGGTGTGGATATTGAAAAATTGCCCGAACGTTTTTTATTTAAGTCTGTAAACCAAAGTATTACAGCACCAATGCATTTGGGTAGCATACAAACGTCCAGGTATGTGTATAATACTACAATGATCAAACAAATAACATATTTATTTTTTCATATGTAGTGTGATTGCACATAATTTAAGGCTTAAGGATAGACCAATTGAGACATATGTCACCAGCAATGGACACCAGCATTTGCCTGTCACACTAACAGTGGCAGAGTTAAACTCACAATTTTTTAACATCGAACGATTGCATACTAATGGACATATTTTCGGCAAGTCAATGCACGCCGCATACGCACAGCCACTAATGGCGCAGTTATTGTCTAACACGACAAAAGGCATTGATTTGTTAACACCAAGGCAAAAATTCTCGAATACTATATTTGTGGACAATTTACGCTTGAGTGATGGCAGCATTAATGGACGTAAAGTTCAGGCAATAGAAAAACAGCTGCAGCATCTAAATGCAGATATACATTTTGAGGGGAGCTACAAATTCAATTACAACATGAATATAAGTCATTTAACATTTCAAGGTAAATTGAATGATATACCTGCTACGGAATTTGGGCAGAGTTGGTTGCAGAAAAGTGGCAAACAAGTATTTACTTCCCCTCAAAGCTTGTCGGATGTAAACTGTTTAAAAGAAATGCAAATTGATGGCACACTTAATAATCAACGAATAGATGATTTTTTTGATAATACCTACTGGACAAACCGGAATGAGTATATTGACACTATACACTTTCGTAAGTCTAACTATAAATAATAAACGAATTATATTAATTTGTAACTAAATTTAGAAAACCCTATACAAATGGAAGCGATGCTTAGTACAACCACGTTAAATGGTATACATGTACCGCTGGATATTATTAATGCCAACTCAACTGCACCGCAAACATTTTATGCCAGTACATCCATTCACGGTCAGCTTGATGTATTAGGTTCTGTAGGTATTTACAATGTATCCACCCTAAATGGCATAAACTTGCGGGAATTGGAAAGATTCCTAAGAGGTGTTGGAGTTAATACTTTTCATGTAGAACATGCGAGCTTTGCCCAGACGCCACTTTATCACACTTTAAATCGATACGATTTGTCGATGTTGCTGGACAAAGTTTGGTTGGCCAATGAAAACGTTCGCCTGAGTCAACATGTCGAATTGGCAAATGCTACTTTTGAGGGTCTGTTGGAATTTGAGGTAATTTATTATATGTAAATTGGTAATGCTGAATAAAAAATAATCCCACACATTCATAGGGTTTAGTGAATAATATACATTTGCAATATTTGAAAGAAAATTATTTAAGCTTATCTCGACCACAAGATGTGCGCACTGAATTGATTCTGGCCGGTGAGGCAAAGTTTGAAGGTGAATTGTCTGCCAACAACATACGGTTGGCTGGATTACTAATGGAAACTAGCAGGTATGAAATGTATCAGGTGTTTAGAATAGCTCACTATAAACAATAATCAATTATATTTTGCATATTCCCATAACACTTGTTAATTTATCGAGTTTAGTGTAAGCGAGTAAAGTAAAATTCATGAACATACATATAGACATTTGCTGGTTCAGCATATTGCTCATATATTTTAGCATTAATTTTAATTTTTTTTTGCAATATTTATACACGAACAAAAAGTTCAGCGCAAAATAATCGTCGTTTACCTTGCACATTCCTTGTCTCATATTGAAAAAGATAAAAGAGAAAATCAATTCACTGCGTAATTTGAAAACCACTGTAATTAGTCACTTGAACAAAGCGACGAAAACGAGGAGAAACAAAAACAGATGATTCACAAATCAATGCGTAGACAATAACCAGCCAACAACTATAATGATTGTGTGCATTTCATATTTTATTTTACAATTTTCATATTGTGTACATTACCTTTAAGTTATTTATATATTTTGCACATTAAATTTTGCAAATTTTCTACACAAAACGTAAAATCGAAGGCCACACGCGAGACACACTTCACTATTTACTTCAACAAAACATCAAAATGTCATTGAATTACCAGTGTGGCCACTCTGTGTTATCTAGTTATATAAATAACAATTGTTAACGTCAAATCGAGACTGAAGTTACTCAAAAGTTATATGATTAAGAAAATCTATGTACAGGGTATATTAACGCTAAGTCTTTAATATGCATAAAATATACTATTTATAGTTTGAATGTGTAATAAAGCATCAATAAGTTCTAATCATATACGAACATGGTAACACTACTAGTTCCGAGAGCCAAGTATCATTACAGACGCTTCCAAACTTTCTGTGATTGCTATACATAGATATGCGAAAAGCGAATTTTTTAAATATACCATATATTAATTTGCATTCCTTTTTCAAAAAAAATATTCCTATGAATGTACTTTAGTTAAAATTCCACATGTTTTCAGAAATTCAACTATGAATTTCGACGAGTTCGTTGCGAATACACTAAAAACAGATGGGCCTCATGAAGTGCGCGCTAGCTGGAGCTTAGTAAGCTTGCTAATACAAGAAGATTTGGAGAACGTACAAATAAACAATTTAAATTTGGCACAAGATATACTGCGTCTGGACACACCTTGTGCATCAGTAACGGCGCCAAAACGCTTACAGTCAACTAATATTCGAAAGCTATATGCCACATCGAGCAGTACTATAAATAGTATACCAATAATTGATTGGATTCAATCGGCGGTTTATTTGCAAGGGAATCACACAATTAATGGTAACATCACGCTCAACACCGTTAATATGTACAAAGATTTGAGTATATTAGACACCGTTAATGGCATAACGAATTTCGGCGAACAAACATTATTGTTACGTAACATTCCAAAACAAATACTGCATGGAGATATATATATAAATAGTTTGTTATCCAATAACCGTGGTGTATTTGTAAATAGTTTTGAAAATTTGTCCGTTAATGACATCAATGGGCAACAAGTAGATGAATTCTATATGCAAATCGCAAATATATCCAAAGTTGTAATCGTTGAAGGAAATTTGGTCTTTCTGCAGCCGTTGGTGGTACAAGAGTACCATAATCGCGCTGCAAGTGAAGTAAAATGGAAACGTAACATATCTATAGTAAATGAAATTGTAGACGAGATGCCCAACTGGAAGGAAATTCTTACAAACGTGCAACAGTTAAAAGAGTTTGTGGATGGTAAGTCATTGCAAATAAAAAAACCTATAAAGGTTTTTTTTAAATAAATATTAGATATGAATTAATACATCTTTTACTTTTAACAGCTTCCTACTATATCTTGAAAACTTTTGAAATTCGCCAAAGAATATACATTAATGCTACTAAAATTGTAAATTTCAAATTGAACGAAGACATGGATGTTATTGGAATAGTGAATGAGACTAATGAGCATTCTCCTATAATGTACTTCAAATGGTCATTAACAGAAGAACAATTTCAACCTGTACAAGGTATGTAAAACATCTATATTTGTTTTTGTTAGATATCATTATAAAATGTTTGAAAAAAAAAAATCAAATCACAAACACCGTCATATATTTATATACTATATATAATTACTTTATTTGTAATAGCATTCAAATTTCGTGGGCATATTTTGTCCGATGTATTCGAATAATTATAAAAAAAATGTCAAAAATTACAGAAAGGGCTTTAAATGCATACATTCATATGTATGTATTATTAGCGTACAAAGTAGGTTTGAAGATTTTCCAACTTTAATAATGTCCGTTCTTTGCTTAATCGAAAAACGTATGTATAAAATGTGTGTATTAAATTGTACGTCGTTTATGTCATTTTCAATATTAACAAATTTAGTTATATACGTAATCAGCATACAAAATATAGTTTAAAATACTTTTAAGAAACGAAATTAGAGTGTTGCTTACTCTTTTGTCTTAAAACCAAAAGTTATTCACTTATTGCTCCAATTCATCGCTTTGGACATCAATTATTGCGCGTAGTATGCCCAACTCTAATTTTTGAGCTGATCGCGGTCGTAAACGATTCATAACGTTTGCAACGTAAAGACCTAATGCTTCATGTCGTGATGAATTACAAAGATTTTTGAAGAAAGTCGGCGGCAGTGAATTGTCAAAATTTCCTAAATTAATGATGCCTCCTGTCGCGTTTGTATGATTTGGATGATTAACTGCTCCACCTACAGCGCCATTAATGGCACCATTGCCAGAGTCGAATATAATGTCATTACGAAAGTCTATCTCTTCAAGTCGTGGTGAATATCCATTCGTTGATGTGGAAGCTACTGTAGCGGCTGTTGAAGAAGATGGACCGCCACCTCCGTTCGTTAACTCAACTCGAGGATTTCCTGTTATTGTAATTAAATTAATACCCGTTGGTTGATTAGCGTCATCATTAGGCTCTTGTTTGATATTGATGGTTGATTCATTAAAAGCAAGAGAGCTCTCTTGTAGAGATGCGCTAGGGTTAGCACTGCTAGCAGTCGATGTACTTCGAACATTTGTTGTTGATGTCTGGGCTGATGAAGCTGTTGTAATTGAGTGGTTGTTGTTTGGTTTTTTAGCAGGTTGAGATCCTGGCTGTGTTTCCACTAATTTACGTTTAATTGATTCAGGCAATGGTATAGACTCGCCGACACCCAAAACTTGACCAGCTACTCGTATAGTCGAATTTTTCTGCTGACCGCTGTTACTTGTTGACTGACCTACCCGGGTCGTACCACTGTAAGTATTTCCAGCTGTTGCGCTTGATGATGTTTTCTTCATGGTTATTCCCTTCTTATGCAAAGCAGCAACAGTAGCTGCGGCTGATGCGTTGGATGTAGGCGTGGAATTAGATGTTGTATTAGAAGATGGACGCGATGAGTGAGCTAAGGAATTCAACACCTTCTTTTCCTCTGCTGCTGGTGATGAGGATTTGCTCTGATTAGCAGCGGATAATTTTGCTTGTGGCTTAATCAAAGGCTTTTCCTCTTTTTCGGGGGTTGTTTCATTAGACCCACTCGATTTTATAGATTTCGATGGGCTTTCACCATCTGATGTAGCTGCTGTCCCTTTTCCTTGTGCAGCTGTTGATTCATCTTCTTCCTGTACTTCTAACATCTCATATTCTTCATCTTCCTCCATAGACACCATACCATCACTTAAAATATATATTCAACTTTAAATATGTATGTAGTGTAAAAAACAAATTCGCAACTTACTCGTCCTGCTTTGGATCTTCTTCTTGAATAGGTTGATGTATTTGCTCCATTAGATCAAATAGTTTCCATGATGGAGTGCGTTTCGTTTTCTCTTGTTCGTATTTCTTTTGGAGTACTTTAAATATCGATCGAGCCTCATGCACTGTAACCATTAACCCAAAAATTTAGAAAACGAAACAAAATAATTCAGGACATATTTACCGGACAATTTATTATTTTTGCCTACGCGCGCCCAAGCATCGTCTATTTCTTTTTTGCCTGCTGGCGGATAATTTGGATGTAGTACTTTTTCCTCGGCTATATCTGCCAATATTTTATCAAGCTGAATGGGCATTATATAGCGATACTTCTTAAAGATTACTACACACTTTGATTAATGGTTAGTTATTTGTATTTGTTTAGTTTTAAACCAAATATTTGTTAAGAAATTTTGTACGTCAATTTAGCTACTTTTTCATCTGCTTTCTACACTGCTTTGCTAAGTTTTATGTGTGTGTTATTTTATGAATGCAGTAACGCGCTTCTTGCAAAACAAAGCGGCGACCGAGCAACGAAATGAAACGGCGCGAAATGTATATCTTTTGCAAACTATTTGGGTATGGTATAACTATCTCTTTTCTTCATTAATAATTTAAAGGGCGTGTGGTACGAACTGACGCGCAATATATCGAACTCAAGGCCGTTACAATAGGAAACGTTTGGAAGGCAAGTCAATTGTTGAGTTGTATTGAAAAACAAAAAATAAGTAAATAAAAAATAATAATAGAAAATAAAAAAAATATAAATGATTGTTAAATCCAAACATAAGATATCATTTATATTTTAATAAAATACACAGTCTTTACTAATAGTAACTATAGTGGAGTAATTGTGAAAATATCTACAATGCAATTTACAAACGGAAATGTCAAAAGTTTGAGATCAACTGTAGTGATAAAACAGAAATCTGAAATAAAATTCATTTCAACGAAAAAAGTTGATAATCAATTTTTGCATTGTTTTATGTTTAATGCTTCTTCCAAATGCTGTGCAATAACATTTTATACCATGGAATACTTTTTAGCTTTCTCGCACTTACAACAGCAGCTTTTGAAAGGGTAACCCCAATAACGAAAAATAGGTCTTTACCCCTTGTTATCAATACATGGGAGTTCACCGAGGCAAATACAGCAGCTTGGTTTGTACTGAATCAGCAACCAGGTGGTAATGCTTTAGACGCGCTTATCGAAGGCTGTGCCACTTGTGAACGCCTACAATGTGACGGCACTGTCGGTTATGGTGGCTCGCCGGATGAGAATGGAGAAACTACACTGGATGCTATGGTTATGGATGGCAGCAACATGAACATCGGAGCAGTTGCTGGTCTACGACAAATAAAGGATGCTATAAGTGTAGCACGACATGTATTAGAGCATACAAAGCACACTATGTTGGTAGGTGATGCAGCAAGTAACTTTGCTGAGAAAATGGGTTTTCGACGTGAAACACTTGCCACAAACAAATCAATGGATATATGGAAAGCATGGCGTCAAAATCGTTGTCAACCAAACTACTGGTTAAACGTATATCCAAATCCAACCAAAAATTGTGGGCCATACAAACCAATCTCTTTCGACGTTCTGGACAAAAAAGAAGCTTATCGCTATGAATACCAAATTGGACGCTGGAATCATGACACCATTGGCATGATTGTAATTGATAGAAATAGTCAAATATATGCTGGAACGTCTACTAATGGTGCCAAACACAAAATACCTGGACGTGTTGGGGACTCTCCCATACCTGGTGCAGGTGCTTATGCAGATAATGAAATCGGTGCAGCTGTAGCTACAGGTGATGGTGATATAATGATGCGGTTTTTGCCAGCGTTGGTGGCGGTAGAAGGATTACGTGCGGGTAGGACGCCCACAGCAGCAGCAGAAAGCGCGATGCAACGCATCAAACGTTACTATCCAGATTTCAGTGGAGGTTTGGTTGTAGTTGACCGTTTTGGAAACTATGGTGCTGCTTGCGTAGGGATGCTAAGATTCCCATACTCAATTGTGAGTGGTGATGCGACGCAAAAGACAAGAGTAGAATACAAGTATTGTAAAACAGTCACGACATTTTCCTAACTAAAAAAAAATTCTGTAAACAAAACTAATAAAAATTTCTTTTTAGGCACTTGTAAAATGTTTTTTTTTTATAATGCAAATTTAAATTATATAAATGACGAAATATTTTAAAAATTGAAAACATATTCAAATCATTTTTATAAATATTTTAAAAATAATTAAACAATAATTAAATTTCAGATTACTCTTGGCTTCCAAAACAGGCTAAGCTAATTGACTTAGTACCGATTTTATTTAGCGAGGCTGGTGATGAATATAATGTCGCTGTTTTAAATAAACATAATGCCAGTTATTTATTATCAAATCTAAAATTAAATTTCGAAAATTTGTTAGAGGATAAGCAGTTCTTTTCAAACTTAAAACGGCTTACAATACAAGGAGAACACTGTTTTGCCTCTCAAGCAATAACAAACAATGATTTAACTAAGGTATATTGTATCAATAAAGTATTTGATTCTCAATTTCACATCTACGAAAAGTTCGTGATTCCCGGGAATGGTATTAAAGAGGTAATAAGCTATGAAATTATACTATCTGCTTTTGTATGTGAAATTTAACTATTTTTAGCTCTTACAAGTGGACAAGGACATAATTGCAATTTTGCTACCCGATACCGTTGAAATATGGACAACTCATCCAAGTTTAAACCTTAAACAAAGTTTGTTTACTCCAAAAGCTAAGAAAATTGCGAGTGCCATGTTCAATAATTACACATTCTTAGCTATTCAAATCGAAAAACAGTCCAACAGCTTGCATAGTGGGACATTAGAAATTTATAGGTACAAATTTTGAATACTTGTACAAATACATATGTTAACAACCAATATTAATTGTATGCCTTAGTTCTACAAATTCCACAAATTTTGGTCATCTACATACTTTGGACTGCTCGGATATAATACAGATATCATTCGGAAAAATTGCGCTAACAGGAGACTTACTATTGTTTACTTTGACACGAAATATTGATGCACCACTAACAATATATCAGTACAAAGGCGTTGCGGGCTTCCAACAAATTGTAGGTGCAACCACTTTACCAGCAATACACGCATATCAGTTGTTGCATTTAGAAAATGCAGATAAAAATATACTTGCGCTAACAACCAGCGAAGGATTGTTATTTGTGGATATAGTGTTAAGAAAATTTTGAAACAGTTGTCAAATTAGAAGTTTCTTTACATACATATGTATAGTACAAAGAAAAATTATTAAAATTTGTGTATATTAATTCGATTCATCATTTCAAATCTTATAAAATTGGTCAACTTATTTGCCAAGCAATTACTGGAATACACCTTGATTTCATTTGACCATAACCACTTGAGGAATGTTATATGCCGCAGTATAGTACACTATCTTCAAAACAAAATCCATTAATATACCTTACACGAATACGGAATTAGTAGTATTTGTTTTTCGACCAGCGACCAAAATTATTAAATTTTAAATGTTTCAAAAACCAAATAGAAGTTGCAAACCAGTTTCTATCATATTATCAAGGTTTTCCAAAATTCAGTTTTCTGTTGCAAAGTTGGGCCTTGCGAACGATATGGATTTTTACAGCGCTTTCAACGATTAAATCTATTTTTGAATACTCGATTTTCATTTTGGTTGACGTCTTTGCAAATAAAAAATGAATTTATTAACTTTATGTATTTTTAATAAACTTCTAAACCCGGACGATGTAATTAATTAATTGCATTCACACATGCATTATTTCATTAATTTTATGTTTAATCATCGCTGGATTCTACATTTTCCGTTTGCAAATTCTTGAATGTGGAAACTGGCACGTATGTCACCAATGTGTATAGTTTGTTAGGTGAGTCCTCATCGTCGTTTCTCCTGCGAGCAAGACGCACACGCACACGTACTGGAGTGGAACTGTAAAAAATTACAAAAGTAAACAATTAAACACATATTACATAGTTTTAGATTTATATGTACAACTTACCGAATACCCTTGGACCAGATATGCTTGTTCAAACGGGTATCAATTCTCACATCGTTGGTGCCCATTTCCTTCTCGGCGAATTTCCGGATTTCCTTAATGGCGCGTGGAGCACGCTTTTTGAAACCAATATTGTGCACACGTTTCGACAAGTGAATGGTGCACTCGCGGGTTACTACCTCATTGATGGCAGATTTGTTGCGCTTTTCAACCTTTTTTGTTTTCGCCATTTTTTATTGGAATTTCTTGCTTGCTAACAAACTCCTAAAATTTTAAAACAGAAGTTATGATAAAAAATTACTGCACAGCTTACTACTTTTAAAAGTGTTAGATATTTTTTAAGAATATTAATTGCTAAAGCGCCACCAATAGTTGTTTGGACACTTTCTTCATCGATCATTCTGCACTTTTCCAATATTTTAATTTTCGCCTATTAAGGCAACATGAAATGTAAAAATTTGAGCATGTTTCGACACAAAAGCGATTCGAACACGGAATTTCACACATATTTTGAATTATAATTTGCAGAATTTCTCGATGTATTACGATTTTTAAAAAGAAATTTACGAAAAACCAACCTATCGGAAATGAAAGCCTGACGTAAAAGAATATGACAGCCGTCAGAAAGAAACGTCAATGCCATTTTACATTTGTTGACATTTTAACCCTGAACTCATAATGTGCGACGCGACATAAAGTGGTGAGATTGTTGAAATATAAAAATATGTGAAGTTTCAATGAAAACTTTATTGAAATGCAAGTATTTTCAGTATATTTAAAATGTGTTAAATTATAATCATTGAATAACCGTATATTTGACATTTCATTAGCGTATTAGAAATGTATGAAAACAAAAGAGCAGCGCCATCTTGTAGTCAAATATTAAGCTAGCAGATGATTTGGATAGTGTGTAAACAATACAAATGTATTATAGTAGAAATGATAAATATTATTTGTAAGCATTATAATACTTATTCTTGTAGTACTTTAAATATATTTTTGAACAGTTTCTCTTTTAGGAGTTGGGTTGCTTTGGGGCGCAACTAATCCTTTCATACGACGTGGTAGCGCAGGTATTGATACAATTGATACCGGTTCAAGATGGCACAATCTTTGGATGGAGCTTTGTATGATAGGATCAAGACTGAACTACTGGATTCCTTTTATCTTAAATCAATTAGGCAGCGTGCTTTATGTGTGGACACTGCAACATGCTAATATTACTCTAGCTGTGCCCATTGCAAATTCGCTAAGCTTCGCGTTTACTGCTGTGACAGGTTATTGCTTAGGAGAAAGATTACCCGGAAAATGTATGTAAACAACTGTGTTAATACAAAACCTAATACTTATTTCTTCAATATGCAGCGGTTCTAATTGGCACGTTAATGGTGTGCTTTGGAACTACATTAATGTTATATGACAAAGTGCTTAGTGAATGAAAAGCTTAAAAATCATATTTTTCTTGATAGACATATATTACAATAATAAAAGTATTTCTTTATACTGTAAAAGTATTTCTATATAACAACCAACTATTTTATTCGTAGCAAAACAATAAGCCCCTTAAGAAAAAATAAACAATACCATTACTTTGTTCTCATGTAAATATGTAGGCACATATTTTTATAGTGCTTTATGTACAGCGTCTACCAATGTTTCCATGCTTATTATAGGTGTTAGAGGGGTAATACCATGACCAAGATTTGCAATATAACGTTCCTTCCCGAATTTTTGCACCATTTCAGTAGTTAGTGCGCGTATATCCTCTGGCGTTTTATACATATCTTGCGGATCGAGATTTCCTTGAAGGGTAATATTAGGCCCTACTTCCTTTCGTGCTTCAATTGGATCCACAGTCCAATCTAATCCTATAATATCATACCCCAAAGCAGCTTGCTCCTTCAGTGAATGACCCGCGCCTTTTGCAAAAATTGTCTAAGGAGGAGAGAAAAATATATTGGATGAAAAATTATTAACATACTTGATAGTATTTACCATAGGCACTACTGGTATCGACTGCAGTTTTAGTCGCTCTGTTAATTTGTCACGAATTTCTTTAATATAAGGCACTGCCCATTTAAGAAAATCTTCCTTTGGTAAATGTTCAGCCGAAGATTCAAATATTTGTAATAACTGTGCGCCTGCTTTTACCTGCATTTCTAGGTAGTCAACAATAGCCTCTGTTAACATGCTTAGTAGTTTCTTGGAATCATCTGGGTAATCAACCAGCCAAGCTTTTGATTTGGCCATTGTTTTACTGCCGCCACCTTCAATCATATAACCCATTAAAGTCCACTAATAGAAAAATTCAGAAATATCATGTTAACACTTTAGCAATTACACATATAAGGTTCAAACACTAACCGGCGCACCCGTGAAACCAATAAGTGGCACACGCCCCTCCAACATGTGGCGCATCATAGTAATAGCATCACCAACATATGTTAAACGTCCCACTGCTCCTTCAGGCGTGAGTTTAGCTAAGTCTGCCGGGCTTTGTAACGGTTCGGGAAAAACTGGACCCTAAAGTTAAGCAGGAAATTATTTAAGAGAAGATGTGTAGGACTGCGTAACTCACCACCCCCGGGTGCATTTCAACTATCATTCCTAAGGCTTGTGGTATTACAAGAATATCCGAAAATATAATTGAGGCATCTAAATCAAAACGCCTCAACGGCTGCATTGTCACCTCACATGCCAATTCCGGTGTACGACAAATTGTGAAGAAGTCATGTTGTTTCCGCACTTCTTGGAATTCGGGTAAATAACGTCCCGCTTGACGCATCACCCAGACAGGTACCCGGTCAACAGCTTCACCTCGCGCAGCACGCAGAAGATTGTCATTTTTTAAAATTGGGAAATTCTGTAGAATTATTTATAATTATTCATTGCACTAATTTATTAGATTAACGTACGTGTCCTGCAGCAGACAATATTACAGCAATTATCAATAAACTTATTATTTCGTAGCTAATACAATGCATTTCTACTAAATAGAATTTTGGATAATAAATTAATTTCAATAATTACAATGATGTAAGTTATTATATACACCTTTGAAATTTGTCTCATTAACCTTTCTTTCACTACTTGCCTTTGTGTCTTTCATTTTCGTTTGTGAGTCGATTGGTTATCCAGTATGATTTAGGTGCGTGTTTTATTGCTGGAGCTACTTAGATTGGCAATTTCTTTTTATTTAAATTTAATTTAATAGATTTAAGCTGGCTTGCCGAACGCTCACCGGTAAATAGCAAACATTAAATTGAAACCAATTGCACGACTTCGGTTATCAGCAATTATTTCAATGAGAAAGGTAGGGTTGCTTTCAAATAGGAGAAAATTGGTGGACGAACACAGCCAGAGAAACAATGGGAAATGTTTTAACTTCTTTTATCAAAGCACGTTTTCAATTTTGTTGATATATACGTATTCACAACTTTTAATTTGTTTTTATAACAGTTAAATAAGTTTTGTGCAATTTAAAAATTTCAGATATGATTAAAAAATAATAAGAGGTAAGGGAACAGACTTGATTTTTGTAACGAATGCTATGCATAAAAGGAAGGCAATATAATCAGCGAACACGTAGGAACACAAAAACAAAAAATTAAAAAGTAATATTTATCTCTGTTGTTTTTATTTTTGAGAAAGAGTACGAAAGCGGTGTGACTAAAATCACGAAAGAAAAAGTGCTTTCGTGTCACTTAAAAAGCCAATACACTTGTAAAAAACCAACAAACAATTGCATACACTAAAACCAGAGAGCGCATATTTATATATACATATGTTCTCCAAAAACAACTCCACAAACGACTCGCTGAGGCCAAAAGCTAATGAAAGTGGAAAAGACGTTTGTATTGAATAGAAAAAATCTAAAAATAACCATAAAGAGATCAACAGTAGTAAAGGTAAGACCAAATATCCAATGCGTAATTTACAAAAGGTAAATAGGTGTGAATTTGTTTTTTAAGCGTTAATTACTTTCATTTTTACATGTGCATACATAATAATAACCTTATACGTATTTGTAAATAGTAAGGAGAAAATCTCAAGGAATAATGGCTGACGAACAACCAAATCTTGTTGCTGGACATCCACCAGCAGGTACGTTTAGTAATTATTGTGTAGATGTGTGCTGTGTTTGCAAGCTAAGATTAAGGGACACCGGGCATGCATATATGTACATATGTATATGTTTATATACCAATCAGAAATGTTAATTATTGAAAACATGTGACGAAAATGTCCTTCAATTACTTTGTTAACGGCACCTGTAAGCGTATGGGTGCGCCGAATACCTTTGGCATGCATTGCAAACATATGTACAATGTACATACATATGTACACGCAAGCATTAACGTAAATAAAAAAATATTGTATATTTCAGTACACTGATAAGACAAGTCGATACGCTTGCGACGTAGTTTCTTTTTTCCATTTCAATCTAACCAATACATATTCAATTTATTTGTAGTTAAAGCGGGTGGCATGCGCATTGTGCAGCATAAAGCTCCTGCCGCTGAGCGTCCAGCTAAGGATGCAGAAGATTGTACCGGATTGACGGTAAACATGCATTAATAACAGATGCATTTTTTTCTTACCTACAATGAAAACATTTTTCTATTGCAGCAACCAGTTGCTGTTAATAGTGGCATAGTGAGTGGTGCTCCAGTTAAGGGTAATATAGATTATACGCCACAGGCAGCACAGGTCGCACACTCGCCCAAGCCACCGGCGTTTGTTGCACAAAAACCTCAAATCAACATTCAACAACCGCGTAAATGAGTGTACGCCACACGTTCCAGCCGTTCAAACCTACAGCAACGACAACAGCAACAATAACATAATCAGCTGCAAAATAACAAATACAACCATTACAATAACAAAAAAAAAAAGCATTCCATTTTAAATAGCCAACAGCAGATAAAATGTCTGCCAGTAGATGAACGGCAGAAAAAGGATCTATGAAGCATAAGAAGTCCTAAATTGATTATTATTAAATAACTTTGTAAAACGAAGAGAACACACACATATGCTTCAAAGTTGAAAACATTTGTGAACTATGTACTCATACACATGAAATTTTTATAACATTCGTTAGAATTTATATAAAACTTGTAAAATTATTGAAATTTAAAATCATAATTTTCTTTTGTCACGCATCTTTGCATAAACATATGTATAATTTTACGCACTATGCTTCCAAATATGCACTATTTAAATGTAGCACTATAAGTGTCATAAGAAAACTTATACTTGTACTTCAATGTTTTGAAAAGTAGACTACCAAATAGCGGTATATTTATTGTAACTAAAGCATTTTAAATTAATTTCATTCCAAGCGGAATTGTTTGCACTTATTTCTTTGAATACATATCTTTGTAAACTATACGAAAACGAATAAAATGTGATTTTATAAAAAATATTGTCACAAAATGTGGTGTTTAGCTATTATCAAAGATAGGAAAATTTAATTTAGCACTTGCTGTTGGTTAGGAAAAAGTGACACTGAACCACAGTATATGAACACAAAAACGCTTGTTTTTAAATATTTAGTAGGGCCTCCATTACTTTCAAATTCGTAGAGTTTTGAAGAGTGAGTCACTTGAGTGACTGATATAAAAAAAATTACCCAGTAAGCCATACGTTGACGTAAAATGCATATTCAAATATGCATGCAAACATACATACATATATAGAACGAACTTATCTTCCATCGTTATCACGTCATCATCACGAAAGAGAAAACGCAGTAGTATTTGGTAGTATCATAATTTATTAGATCATAGCGCTTTACGATGTCATTTATTTTATTTAATTTTGAAAACATTGTGACAATTCATTCCTTAGCAAAGTATTTATAATTCACAGATGCATTTTCGTTTAATTCTCAGCTTAAGTTGATGCAAGTGTGTCTATTAATTTGCCTCTCTGAGCTTCGGTGGTCCGGGGTGCAGACTTCAAATCTGTAGTCGATTAACGTCGAAGTGGTTCGATTCCACCTGAGGGGCGGAAATTTGTCCATAACAATTTTAAATATATTTAACAGTCAGGAAACCCACAAATATTTAAATATCTATGAATTTTTCTAAACTGGCGAGAAAAACCTGACATTCGAACTTTATTCCTATAAATAATATATACATATACTAGGCGCCCCCGCTGCGCTCTGGAACGCTCGCTTCGCTCGCTCGCCAACGTCCGCCCCCCACCGAGCGCGAGTTAGCTCGCTCTTATGTTAGTTGATTCTCGACAGCAGCAGAAAACTTTTATATATAATAGAGAGATAAGTATAGTCATATTTTCACAGTTTGACAGCCAATATACTTTTCAAAGAAGTTGCATCGATCAAACATTTGTTCATAAGTTGATTAGAATTTAAAAGGAAAGCAAAAAAAAAAATAAAGAATTTCAAATTAATAAACATTTTGTTTTTAACCTAAATCCAAAGAACTATGTCAACATCGCTACAAATAGATAAAATAACACCAGAAGAGTTAATGAAACTACGTTCCGAATGTATGGAGCGCTTACGAGAGGCTAAACTCTACGAATTGCGAAACGATGCCAAGTTGCGGGCAGTGAATACAACTCAAACCTATGATGAATTCAAGTAAGTGCCGATTTTTATTTATACCTAAAACATTTGAGATAGACAAGATGTGCTCACTTATTGACAGAGATATCGTGGATGCGTCTCATTTACAACCGATTAGTAAGCAGGATAAAATGAATGCCAAGACGAAGAGTCGTTTGTGGAATTCAGCAGCTCGGGAAAATTAATATACTTACATACATATAATGTCATAGCATACATATATACGTATATAGAACGTACATTTACGGTAAGGTCCGAGAGAAGAATAAATTTAACTACTTCTATGACAATTACAGCAAATTTTATTTGATTTTTGAGCTATTAACACAACCATATATGATTGAATCGTGTTTATACTTCTAGATTGTTGTTTCGCTTCGCATTTGTGTTGTGTTTTTACTGATTTGGCAAAGCCGCTTGCAAACGCTCGCTAAATCTGATGCTTAAACAAGGAAAAACGTTAACTTTCCTTGCACCGAAGTTATAGCAACCTCTACAAATAATAAAAACAAACAAGAACTTGATTTGGAGCGATTAGTTTCCCATACAATAACTTGATTTGAATCGGTCAGTTTGTATGGCAGTTTTATGCTAAAGTGGTCCGATATTGAAGGCACAAATGAGCAGTTTCGGACGGCCATGGCTAAATCGACTTAGCTCGTTACGCTGATCATTTATATACTATGTACTTATATGCTTTATAGGGTCTCCGTAGTTTCCTTCTGGATGTTATAAACTTCGTAGTACCTTGTTCAGGGTATAAAAATGGATCGTACTAACGCCAAGCTCCTGTCGAAAAAAAATTATTGAGTCACATTACTCTTGCAGAATTGCAGAAATCAATTGATTAAATTGTTAGAGTTGGCGGGTAGACCGGCAGGATCTGAGCTATTCAATCCAAATAGGAAATCACTTTGTTCAATATCCACGCATATAGAGCACACTATCTGCACTCCTATTGCAAAAAAAGTATTGGAATATGCTGATAGTTATTCTATTATTCATGATTATTTCTCAGGATGTTGTGGCTTGATATTCTAGTAAGAGGAACTCGACTTATCTTAGTCAATAAATCGATGATTTTAGAATCGACAAAACAAAATGAAGACAAAAATTTATATTTTCATATCGCAAGCTTTATTATAACTCTTTTCATAATATTGGGTACTTTAGATGGAGTTTGCTTTCTCCACAATCCAGGAGTGGTAGGTGGGGACATCGGTATAAACACCGGGGTAGCGAGCGGCAGCACAGCCATAGCCCCATGAAACAACACCAACAAGTACATCACCGGATACCAATGGACCACCGGAATCGCCTTGGCAGGCATCCTTACCAATGGCAGCAGCGCAGACCATGCCGGGTTTAACGGCAGAACCATACCTGAATGAGCTGGAGGCACATATGCTACGATCGATGATATCTACGCCGACATATTGCAATTGTCTGGGAATACTACGTGAGCCAGATGAGAGTGTACCCCAACCGGATACTACTGCAGATGCGCCAGAGGGGGGTGTGCTGGTAGCCAAACCAATAGCCCTAGTGGTCGAGCTGAATGACAGAGAGGAGGCTAGCTTGATGATGGCAATATCGTTGCTGTAAGTTGATGCGATGTAGCCTTCGTGGGTTTTGAAAGTAGAGACAGAGACGAGAACACCACCAGAGTTCCAGTAGGTGGATCCGGATCGGATTCTCAAAATCGAAGCACTAACCGATTGCAAACAGTGAGCAGCGGTCACAATAATGTTGCTGCTATAGATGGAGCCACCGCATGAGTGGGAACCGGAACGTTGGAGCGATATTTGCCATGGGAATGAACTGATGGTTGTTGGTGTACCACCAACAATACGTCCACTCAAATCGTCGCTTAGCCTGACCATACCTTCGGGTATGGTGCCAGCCAAAGCACAAGCGACAAAAGACAA